ACTTCTCGCATTTACCATGAACGAGAACAGCAAGCTCATCGCGGGAAACCGTCCTCCACGAGTGAACACGTCAACGCGTCCGACGCCTGACTTCGGAACATCCAGCTCTGGTGTCGGTAACACCATGGACACCGTCAGGTGCGCTCCTCCACTGCATCCCTACACCATCGCACAGTTTGAAACTCTACTTCCAGGAGCGTCTTCCAACTCGCTCAAGGTGCCTCAGGCCTCTGATCGAATGGCTCCCGATGCTGACCCCCGAACGTTGTCTGAAGGCTACGGGGACTCGTTCCGCGGCGCGATCCTCGGCGCGATCGACGACTGGGAGAACAAAGGCGAGCAGAAGCACCACGACGTCGCGCGCAACGGACAGGCGATGGTGAACGATGCCTTCCGGCAGCTCGGGTGGGGCGGGAGCGGTGTCGCAGCGCCGGGCCAGAATGGTGCCAGTGCGTCTGCATTGTGTTGTTGGTATGGTTAGTTGACGAACTTTGCTTAGGTGGCTCTGCGACTGGATACGACACCAGGCCGCCGGCGTACAGCTATGCGTCTACGGGATCCACTCCGCAGCTCTATGCGGACAACAAAACCGGGGGCACTTGAGTGGATATAATCGTTCTCCATCCCATTGGCTGTTTTATAGTGCTCTGTACTCTTTCTACCAGGCTCTTTCGCTATTCGGGGCATGCGAGTTGTTTACAGGATGATGCCAAGTCAATGTAATATCATTCCGCGTAGAGCCACCTCCGCGTTTTTGGCACGCATGCATTGCCACAAACCACGTGTTAAATCCATGATCACATGAATGAGTGTTATGGCCTGAGTCTTCGATACGGATCGTCCCACCCACAACGGTCGAAGAAGCACGATTCACCCTCAATTACATGCTGCCCTTGGGCACCGCGTCTGAGCAGATAGTTACTTTCTTGCCGAATACAAATGCGGATTCAAAAAAAAAGTGTTCGTCTCGGAAACTCACAACTAATTGATGCCGCCGGATGTGTTCGGCTCTGTGGGCCTCTTGCTTGCTTAACATGTGACTTTCTGTCAAATTCTCGTGACTGTCCTGGTTTCATAAATAGATGTGGGACATCTAAAGTTCGTTCTTCCCTCCTTCGAAGATTCATCCCATCCCCAAGCATTTATTCGAATCCGGACGGTCACTTACTCCTTTGGCACGGAACTCATCGAAGCTCTGGAATCGTACGAGCATGTCCTGATGCGTTACATAGTCAGGGAGCTTCCAGCGTTCATCTTTTTACCCACCGGGGGCCTGCCATAATCGATGACCGTTCGAAATCACTTTCGGGCCATCTGGCACAATAAGTTTCTCACAGAGCTCAAGCATATATCAACTCTGACCCAGCGCGTCTAGATCTGGCCCATCCCCATCCATGGAACGCTTACTTTACCATCTTCCCGCGGCGACAACCGCCCTAGCCTTAGCATTGGGCGGTGCCGCGCTCTACCTGTCGTACTGTAACTACGCCTACCCTTTTCAGCGTTCGAGGCGTCTTCCGCTTCCGCCCGGCCCCAAACCACTCCCGCTGCTGGGGAATCTGTTCGACCTCTCGCCGGATTTCTTGTGGGTGGGTATGACCCAGCTGGCGGAGCGATTCGGTGCGTTGTGTTCTTACTCTTCTGTGGCGACCCATAATGGCAGCAGAGTCGGACATCGTGCACCTCAAGACGTTTGGGCAGTCGACCATCCTGGTTAGCTCCCGCCGGGCTGCGGTGGAGCTGCTAGAGAAGCGCTCTGCGAAGTATTCCCACAGGTGGGTGCCGTGTGTTGAGAGTGGGTTCGAACTTGATAGAGAGATGCTTCCCACTCCCAGACCAAGGTTCCCGATGATCCTTGAGGTGATGGGGTGGAACTTCTTTTTTGGTGAGCACGAGTTCGTTTGTTGAAGTGGTACTCAATGCGTGCAGCTGCAATCGACTACGGTGCGTGAGTCCCTGGTTGTTGAAGCTCGATCTGACATTTTCCTGAACAGGCGATGCTTGGTGAGCTCCTTCATTCTCCCAAGCTGATCAGCCTTCACACGTTCTTAGGCGCATCCACCGGCGGTTTTCAAACGACACCTTCCATGCCCAATCTCTGGCCCAGTTCACGCCGCATCTCGATACCGCAGTACACGCCCTGCTCTCACGCATCCGGGAAAAGCCGGAAGATTTCATGAAACATCTGCGCCAGTCAGCCCGCGCACTGCATCTGCTCAGACTCTGCTGCAATCTGATTGAATGTACAGCATGGCGGGGCAGATTATCATGAATGTGACGTATGGCATCGATATCCAGCCGGAAAGCGACCCGTATGTCCTGGACGCCCAGCGCGGTGTGCAGATCCTCACCCGTGCCTCGGTGCCCGGCGCTTACCTTGTGGTACGTGGAGTTCCCGTGCCCATCTGGCTTCCGTTTACGTAAAACATCGTGCAGGATACCCTGCCGATCCTACGGTACATCCCAGCATGGATGCCTGGTGCGCGATTCAAACGCCGGGCACAAGAATGGCACGAGCACCTCCCGATCCTGACAGACAAGCCGTTCGACGAGGCAAAGCGCCGCATGGTGTGTGCTACATGCAGATACATTGGGTTCATATGACGTCATATACACAGGATTCCGGCACGGCGGGATACTCAGCCAACCTCTTGGCGTCGGCGCTGTCCCGGATCGCCGAGTCCACCACCGCCGGTGAGCAGGCTCAGTACCTCGAAGGCATCGCACGGGGTACCTGTGCGACGATGTACATCGCGGGCTCCGACACGACCGTCGTGGCGCTGTCGTGGGTCATCGCGGCGATGGTGCTGCATCCGGAAATCCAGAAACGTGCGCAGGCGGAACTGGATGCCGTGGTTGGGACCGCGCGGCTGCCCACGCTCGGCGATCAGGCGGACCTGCCGTGGGTGTCGGCTTGTGTGAGGGAGATTCTGCGGTGGAGGCCGCCGGCGCCGATGGGTACATGACCCAGCCAACGCCCCGCAGTGGATCACTCATCATGCATTTTGTGCTTAGGTATGCCGCATGCTTTGGGCCCGGAGGACGACGAGTACGGCGGGTATAGAATCCCCGCGGGGGCCATCATCGTTAGCAACATCTGGTCCGTCTCGTGTTCCTCCTTCTCCGCAGGCGACTCGTTAACGACGGGTTAAATCAAGGGCAATTCTGCACGATCCAGTAAGACCCCAAAACTCACCATCCATACTCAATGAACCTCGACCGATCTGGATAGAATGATTACCCCAACCCCGACGCGTACAAACCCGAACGCTGGCTCACCCCTGACGGCACGCGCCTGAACCCGGCCATGGACGACCCCGCTGGTCTGCCCTTTGGATTCGGCCGACGTGTGTGTCCGGGCCGACACCTCGCCGAGACGTCCGTGTGGCTCGCGACCGCGTGCATGCTTGCCACGTTCGATATCGCGAAGAAGGTCGCGCCGGATGGGCAGGTCGTCGAACCCGTGTTGGAGTATGATCTTGGAGTGCTGGCGTGAGTGTGCGGCCTTTGATAGAGGGTGCTGATGCTGATTGGTGCGCAGGGGACTGAAGCCGTTTGAGTGTTCGATCACGCCCCGGGTTGTGATGAAAGAGAAGCGCCTGGGTTTTGAAAGATCTATTTGCGTTGTACAAGAGTGAAACTCATGTCTATAGTCTGATATAGTGGGCTGAGCACTCGAAGTGCCTGATTGCCTGATCCAAATTCTACGGAACGCTCAGTCTGCTTTTGATGACGCCGTTATCTATCACCTCCCGCACCGATGGCCGTCCTGTGATGTCTCTCCACCACCGCGTTACATTAGGCCTCTCCTCACTTGTGACCACATCTATGCCAGTTCGCTTCAAAAGCGTCGGTGCGTGCATCAGGTGGAGGATATCAGCGACGGTGAATGTCTGGTCAGACTGATCAGGACGAGCACGGATGGGCGGAGGATGCGACGCACATCACCGGCGATGTATTGCTGCTGCCCTAGTATAACCTCGTACACATCCAGTCGCGCATTCAGGGCAGCAAGCGCAGCATCGAGTCCTGCTTGGTCGATTGGCAGACCTTCATTGCTGGAGAGATAAGATGGCAGGTGATTAGTGGAACGAATACGACGCTGAGGATCCAGGCACTGACTGCTTCGGGATGATCTCCGCCCAAATAGCCTTCATATGCGGATAGAAATTGAACACCTCAAAGGACGCGCCCGCCTCGAACCGCCCGCGCGCCTGAAAGTCCGACGCAGGCGGAATGAGTCCTGGCGTGCCCTGTGCCGCGTACTTGTCCGCCAGGTAGCGGCAGATCGCGCGGCCCTCGTACAAGATGAATCCGTCGTCGTCCTAGCGAAGATACAGAGGATGAAGAGGGGGCGGGCCAAGGACGCACGATGACGGGCACCTGGCCAAAGGGATGCCGCGCGATGTGCTCCGGGAGCTTTTGCTGCTTCAGGGTCAGGTCGACGAGCACGTGTTCGAACGGGACTTGTTTCTCGATGAGGGTGATCGCGACGAGCGACGCGCCGCCGACGGTCGGCGTGCCCGAGTACAGCTTCAGGACCATGGGACGCGCGGATGGGGTGAGGGTGAGGGTGAGAGCGAAGCAGTCTTATGACGGCGCTGGAGAAGCTTCAAATTGGCATGGCGCAATTCGCACGTCACATGTACACTTTGGGACGTCGCTGCGAGTGCTCTTGGAAGGGCAAACAGAACGTAAGAAGACCGAGTGAAGTGAACGAACAGAGGAGAAGCGTGTCATGTCTGCGTCCTGAATCGTACTTGTGAGTGAGCTGCGATATACTTGGTAGTCGTAGTGCTCACGTTTGTAGAGAGATCAGATGACAAAAGGTGATTGACACTGATGGCCGGTCTCAGGTGATGTCCGATCAGCGCCATACTTTCGCTTCAACGTGACTGCGACGAATCGTCCTTTTCCTACGGATCCGCCTCCCCAGCTTCCAGTCCGCCTGAAACGAACTGAGTATCACACTTCACGCCACACGTGCGGATCACGTTCCCATGGGATCGAACCAGCGCGCTGAGATAGGCTGAGATGTTCCTGATTAATATCTGCACTGCCACTCTTCCTCTCCGCTCATGTTCTTGGTTTTCTCTTCTCTCTTTCGCTGGCCGTTTCTTTCCCTCGGCTCTCACTTTATCTTTATCTTCTTCTTCTTCTCCATCTTTCTTGCATCTCTTGTCCCGACGACTCATGCCGTACCGACGAACCACACGATTGACGACGCCGACCCGGTAGTCGTTTACGACAACCAACTCGCGGGCGACCGCTCTGGCCTGGACGTTTTATGTCCGTCGGAAGATAATACGGGCTCTGTATGCCATACTGCTGGTCAGGGCGGATTCACGACGGCGACGGGGTACGACTGGTCGCAGCTTATAAACGGGACGATGAAGGTAATAGATGGGAAGATCACGGTGCCTTTCGTCGGTGCGCCTGCGTCTGCAACCGTGATAACCTTTGACAACCTCCAGGCGGCGCGGTGTACGTGTACTTTGGAAACCAAGATGCGGTCTCGTGCAACATCCTAATCGACGGCAACCAAGTGGGCACGTACACGGGGAATGCGAGCACTGCGGCACGGAGCGTGTTGGGGTATCAGCAGGTGCTCACGACTGGTGGGCAACACACGCTAACGCTCGTCTCGGCGGGGTTGGACAGCCTGATCAACTTCGATGGGATCGTGTTCACGTGCGTGGTACTTCTCAGACACGCTTGTATTGGGCTGAGAGGAGGGTGTTTATAGCCAGGGTCTGCAGAAACTAGCTTCATCGAGCTCTTCCACTGCTACTCCGACGAGTGCGTCCCAGATACCGACCCATCGAACGTCGAACCCCGCAGCGTCAACTCCGACCCAAAGCATCTCTCCAGCGCCGTTACATCGGTCGATTCTCGCACCTGTCCTTGGGGCTGTCGCAGGCATACTAGTAATCGCAGCCCTCGCTATCGCCGTTTGCGTGGTCCGTCGACGCAGACGTCGCCGCCCAATCAGGCGAATATCCAACATCGATCCAGAGCCCGCGTCGGCCTTCAACCCTTACCCACTCAACCTTCCTTCCACCACTGCTGTGAAAGAGCCTGGCGGCCCGAGGGAGAAGCCCGCGCGGACTGCGGTGTTGACGAATCCCAGTGCGAGGGCGGCCGTGGCCGCGGCTGCTCCCGACACCGCGACGGTTTCGATGCCAGCGCCCCCCACTGGTGATTCTGATTTGGCCGTCAGGCTAGCTGATGTCGAGGCTCGGTTCCGGGCGCTCGAGCAATCGGTTCAAAGGCGAGACACGATGCATGCGCCTCCACCGGCGTACCAGTAATTTGTGCTCCATATCTCAAAATCTGTTGTACCATGTACTCACCAGCATGTATCCTCATCATAGTCAGCACTTACTCTCCGAGTGCAGTTTCCTCTGACATGTGCGGGCTTAATTTTTCCATATCCTGGACATGTTGCTGTGGTTACCCGCTGTTGAGTGAGGCACAGCTTGCTGAGAGCGTCTCGATTGCTGGAACAGGATTACAATTCTGAAAGCTGCCCCTGCACGGAAATTCCAGTGAGCCCCCACTAAAATATTGTATAGAGCCTATTGCACAAGTCGCACCAGAGGATTCAGCTTTGCTACGACAGTTTTACTGCAAGTTGATCGCGAATCTGGAGAAACCGACCAGGGACATCGATCCCTTCCGTAATTGGGAGATTGTTTCATGCGAATGATGGAGGTCCCGTCTCAATCTGTCGCAAGAAGTCACATCGCTGTCATTGGTTAGGCATATATAGCCACGATAATTGTCCGCTGCACCTATAAAACAGATGCTCAGCAGCCTCTCCTTTCTAGCGTGACGCGTCCACATCCCCAGACTCATAACTCTCTATCTTGCTCGTACTCAGAATTGTGTTTTCCATATGAACGCAATAATTTCCCTCCTCATCCTGCTAGGGATGGCCTTCAATGGGGAGGCAACATATCTTACACATGATAGGTCTTCTTCCTCTGTGAGACCTCATTGGTCCCGACTCAGGAGCAGAACAAAGAGAGTAGAGCGCGGGGCATTGGCGGTCCCTTTCATTGGTATGTTCGCTTCTTCAGGACTTGCGGTCCTCTTGACCTCAGCCACCTGATGCTCTCGCAGATGTACTAAGGACGTCTACACTCCTTCTCATGAACGCAAACGACGTTAGACACAACATCATGCACGATCGGGGTCTGGTTAACGCCCACACGAGCTCGAGGGCAGTGGGCACAGCCGAACACCGTTTCCTGGAACATGAAACCAGCACTCACGCTTCATCACTTATCACTGCAGTACCCAACATCGCGATTGATCAGGGTAGGATCCTGAACCAGTAAGTTTGAGTAATCGGTGGAAATATAACTGATCGTGTGCAATTGTCTATCTCCATCCAGGCGCGAGGTCCAGGAGCTCAGCGTCGAAGACGAGAGCATATTGCAGATTCGTTCGGGCTCCGCTGTCTCGTCGACGGTCCTCGCCCCTCTCCTCGGAGTCCTCACCGTCTGCCTCGCCGTCCCCGTGTTCGTCCTTTGGCATAGGAAGATCTATCAGGCAACATACTCTGCCAAACGGCTGTCCAACTTTGATCACGAGCAGGCACCGCGACTTCGAACAGCACCCGTCCACTCTGCGATCCGGCCACCAGCGCCGGTACAAGCGACTGGACCGCGTGCAAGAGGCGATGATGCACCAACGCGCGCACGCGGCACGTCGTCAGTGCCGGCGAGAGATTTGGAGCTGCCCTCCGACGGCAGCGCACCTCCCCCGATCGAAGGAGTCTCCGGAGCCGTGGTCGTGGATCGCCTCACAACTCCTCCTTGCGGAGAGACCACTAACACCAGGCCAGAGGGGACACGCCCATCCGATATCGACCCCGAACCGCCACTGGAATTTAGCACCGTTACTCCGTTTCCTTACACAGAGCGCGTTCAGCGTGCCGGTCCGAGAGAAAAGCCCCGCGCGGGAGAGATTCCCGCATCTCTGATACAGGACAATGCGGCCAACTCACAGCATAGTTTGGGTGCCACTGGAGACGTAGTAACTGTCAGCGCCCATAGTGAAGCCGCAGCTCCCCCACCGATCAGTATCGCTGTCTCCGAGATCACGGCAGAGCTGCAAGTCCGTCTTGCGGATATGGAGGCCCGGTTCAGGATCATCGAGAGTGCGGCTGACGGAGGCATGAACCCACCCCCTGCCTACGAGTGATTGTGTTCCGTTGACTTTCGAGTTTTCCATATCTGAAGAATACTACTCATTTAAGCATCTGCTGCATCGTTTGAGTTCAGTTTGACAGAGGTTTGACTTGTGAGACCAATCACTGCACCTTATGTCCAGACTCCAGAACGACAGGAAGTTCCTGTGCGGTGTGAGTGGCTTGAACAAGACTGGAAGGAGTATTTCCCATTGTTGTATCTTCAACGCCATTCTATCGTTTCTAGGGCAACAGGGCATTTGGGAGGTTATATAGGGTAATCAACGCTTCAAGGAACACAGGGTTTTGTCGTAGTTGTAGCTTTGGTCCGTGACCGATGAATTCAATGCATAGACACAGAGCAATTACAAAACAGTTTCATCCCTCGATAGCATCGTAAATCGTGCGTTCAATCTCACCGTAAACTTTCTCATACACTTTGTCTCTCGGTGGCAGGATCTGCGTGCCAAAGATCACGGCAATGCCCGTTGTAGGATCCATGAAGTAGCTGGTCATAGCCAATCCACCCCCTGCAACACGCTTAGTTTTCGCATATTCAACTCTCCACAACGGAGTGCGCTTACATGCACCAGTGCCCTTGCGCCGCTTACCCGGGAGATCCTCTGTAAAGAGGACTAGGCCGTGGCTGTATTGTGCCGAGCCTGCAGGGAGGTTCAGGTACGGGTTCCAGGACATGCGCTCGCTAATCGTTTTAGCACCCAGCGGCGGGAGAGTCGGCTCAAACATCAAATCTACGGAGGACGGGGAAAGGAGGCCCGTTGTGTCACGACGAGCTGCGACCCGTTCCATCAGCAGGTGGAATCAGATAAGATAGTTTGCTCGTACTTTTGATGCGCAAGATATGTTGAAGGATCTTGAGGTAGTCCTTCTGTGACGAATAGATTCCGGCACCTCCGTGCATGAGTTTGACTTCAATTCCAACGTTATCTGCTGTAGCGAGAGGTTAGATGAAATCACACGCACCTTCCCCGGTTTCCTCATCGAAGGGCACGACCGGCGGAGCGGTCCACCGGACGAACGTGCCTGCTGGCGTACGGAGATGGATGGGGAGGAAGTTCGCTGCGAGTTCCGGAGTCCGATGGAAGGAAGGTGCGGTGATCCCCAGCGGACTGAAGATGTGGTCCTTGCTGTTAATTCTTCATGTGAGTGGACTAGACGACTGCATAGACACAGACCACGCACAAATACTGCTCAAGCGTTTTTCCGGACAGGGCCTCCACCACGAATCCCGCAGCGTCAGAGGAGATGCCGTAAGCGACTAGATGATGCTTGGAACGGATAATGCGGGAGCCGATGTGAGGTGTACTCACAGTCAGTTCCCGGCTCGTGGTGCAGCGCCGGCCCCGGGAGCTCGCCCGATCCATTCAGCAAGTAGAAGTACTTGGCCTTTGGGTCCGGCTCATCTTTGTAATCGTGCGTTGTCGGCGACGGCCACATTCCCTCCGGAACTTATCAGCGTTCAGTCAGCGCTCGCACGTGGTGAGTGGGGCAAGGAAGGGTCGCGATCGGACTCACCAGGGATCCCAGCCGGCGCATATATCGACCCATCCAGTCCGCTTGAGTGATTCAGCAGGTGCCCGATGAGGATCTTCCCTCGAGCAGGAGTCCAAGTCGCCTTGCCCTGCTCGTCCTTCTCGCCGGTGAGGATGACCGGATTGGCGTACTGGGGCACGATCTCCTCGAGCGCCGTGTCGAAGCTGATCTTCCCCTGCTCGATCTGTTGCAGCAACGCGATCTGCACCCGGCGTGAGTGCCAGGCAGAGCTACGCGGCATGCTGCGCCCACCGTCGTGATGAGCTTCGTCTGGCTGAATATCGTGAAGACGGTATCGACGTCGATGTCACCACTGCTCGGATCTTCGAACCACCGCGTCCCCACTGCGTTCATGTAGATCGGTCCCTCCACGTCCGCGACGCCCAGGAACATCGCCGGTAGAGATTTACTGGTGAAGGCATCCGTCTCGTGAGAGTTGTCAGAGGAGGGATGGGGTGAAGACGTGGACAACTCCTCACTAGGATGGCGTCGAGTTTTGCTTTTCCAGCCTCTGAAATGCGGGGCATGATTGGTCTGAAGATGAAGCGAACAGCTGCGCCGTCATGAGGGCAATTGTGCTCCGGTGTCTGGGGTAGCCGGAACGGATCGATCGGTCCGGCTAAGCGATCGAGGGTTAGGGGTTTTAAATGTGGCAGTGTCGTCAGCTGAGCTAAGACTCGAAATTGACTGTGTAGCCCACTCACATTAGGTCAAGAGAGACACGTTGAGGCGTATTCTCTCGTTTGATTGAGAATTCTCAATTCAAGTCGCCCTATCTTGATACAAGTTCCTGCTACAGTGCTAAGTTTGTCACCAGTGCCGAGTCTCAAATCTCGTAATGCAAAGTTCGTCATCCCCACTTCGGAATTGATCAGTCACCCAATTAGACACGACATCCACCAAACAGCGCTCACCGGCATACAATCTCCCCCATCCCAGACTTCAGCCTTGGCCGGGTCACCCAACATGACACGCGCCTGGTACATCCCAGCCCCATCCTCAAACGTGCGAATCCACCACATCACAAGCCAGTGCCGCGAGACGTACTTGAACCACACATACCAGTCCCACTGATATGCATTGATCACTCGCGGGTTCATGTAGATTTTCGTCAGCCCGAACTGACGCCGGAAATCATACGGCAGCAGGAAGCACTCGGCACTGAAACACTCGCCGGGGGCTGAGGCACGGAATCGAAGAGGCGAGGTCAAAGCAGGACTCGTTCCTCGCGTTGTCGAGTTGAGTTCCGGATGAGTCTGGGGAAGAGGTGCAGAGAGTGGTGTCGCCGAGAGCTGCTTTCCTGAGCGGAGAGGAATTGGGAGGAAGGGATCAGCGTGAAATGCAGCAATTCCGTTCCAACACGCGAACACCGGCGCTGGTTCGTCGGTTTTGACGGCCTGATATCCGGTCTTCTCCATGAGATATGGCCACACGCTTGAGACGAAGTTGCCCAAACGGTCCCGCGCGACCCATTGGTCGTATAGTCTGCTGAGATCAAGGAAAATTTAGAAGGGGAGATTATGAGCACGTACCCCCAGGGACCGAAATCCATCCCACAGACCATATCATAGTCGCCCTCTCTTGTGCACACCAACTCGACGATCGACTCCGCCTCGATGAACACGTCGTTGCTGAACACTACACGGGTGTACCCGCCCATCTCCAACAAGGGCTGCATCGCCAAATTGCGCACGGCCGCTATGTACTCGATGCGGCCTGGCTTCGACTCCCACATGACGGGTCCCGGTGGCCGTTCGATGGAGGTGTCGCGCGTGAGAATGCGGTGTGGGATGTCGAGCGAGGTGAGGGTCACGTCGAAGGATTCGAGCAGGTCGGCAGTGTTGTCTCCGCTATGCGATTCGACGATGGACACAAACACGTTGTCCTGTAGGTCATGATATGAAGGCCCTTGAGGCGACGAGCAGACGTACCGGTCCGAAATAATTGATCGCTTTGATGACCTCTGCAGTCCAGTAAGGCACCACTTCGGCGTTGTTATAGAACATGGCAGCGAGAAAGATCTTCTCTGGCATACACTGAGCCGAAGGTCGGTCGAGCTGAAGGGGAGACACTCACCCCCCGTTCCATACCCTTCCCTCCTTGGTTCACGGTTGGCCTGTGTTACTGCGTGCCGGAAGCGGGAGTCAGCCGGATTCTCCGCGTAAGACCACATCGCCGTGTAGGCGAAGATGAGGAATGAGATGTATGCGGATACGATGAGGACGAGCAAGAACCGAGACTCGGGGAGCCAGCGTATCGCAGCTGATAGCGCGCGGCGACGGTGCTTCTGAACGGACAGCTCCTTGCTTGAACGCTCCAAATCGGCTTCATTTTCACTGGCTCCAACGCGATGGTACCCCGCTCGGTTAGCCGAACCACAACCGCATGCCCGCCCGAAAACGACGTATACCGGTACCCAGACCGGAAGCAGCATACCCCACAGGCCGAGTGCAATGAGACTAGTGATGAAACGCATACGGGCGGCGGGGAACGCGGGTGCCCAGCGTGTAGCGGCGTCGAAGCGCGCGTCGAGGTGGTTTTGGACGAGGAGGTATGTCAGGAGGAGATGAAGAAGTGGGAAGAGTGTGTGGACGCTTATTGGGATATGGCGGGGAAGGAGATACATCTGTCGGGCTAAAGGGCGCATCGCAGGCAGGATCAGACGCATACTAAGTAGACAGGAGGGAAGGGGATACGCGTGACGTCACGGTACCGCGCACACGTGCTCACACCGGAATGTCAGGGGCTTCAGCTTTGGCCGAACTTGTATGTATGTGCCAGATGGGACACCAACTCACCATGAGCCAGCAACAGCACGCCCCAGAAGCAGCCGGTCTAAACAGCCGGTCTCTCGTTTCTGTGATGATACAACAAGAAAACAAATCGATAGCATTACACTGACAGCGTGAATCGTTCTTTCGGTATACGTAATCGTCATTATCATTCTGCAACAGGCACAGTAGCATCCTTCTCCACATCTCTTCCGCTCTGTGCACCCTCCATCCCCCAATCCCGATCCACGGCCGTATGCAGCGGATACGACTTCATCAACAGGCTGCACAGGAGCCCGAGCCCCGCAATCCCCGTCGTCGCCCACCACACTGTCTGCAGCGATTTTGCGAATGCAGCGCGGACCTGGGTCTTTAGCGGCTCTGGGAGGGTCTTGATGACAGGGATGATTGAATATGCGATTTCCGAGCCTGGAGGGAACTGTGCTAGGAAGGCCGCGGGGAGGTGTCGCTGGAGCTGGTTCTGCAGAATGCTGCCTCCCGCAGTGACGCCCCAAACCTGGTGGTGTCTGAACTGAGCGCGTCATCGCACCTGCGAAGAGCAAACGCACCAGCGAGAAATTCCTCAAAAATACGAAAAACGCGACGGCCTGCGCGTTCTTCTCGACCTTGATCGGGGCTAACACGGGGAAATACGCCATCAAGATCAGAATGCCGATCCCCGTCCCTGGGATGACTGTAAATCCGATCGCTTTGGCCCGGGCGGACGCCTCGTCGAGCGTGGCCATCATGGCGGTCCCGACGACGATGAGCACCCAGCCGATCCAAATTGGCAGGCGGAACGAGCCGCGCTTCTGGGTGATGACGCCTGCGATGAGGCCCATCGGCGCAGGGACGATGGCGAGCGGGAGGCCGTTCACGCCGGCTGCAATGGGGGAGACGTCGTAGCATGCTTGGTAGTAAACTTGGGTGTAATCTGAAGATTGCAGGGACGTCAGCGAACATTCTTCCATCAGAAGGGGCAAGCGCACATGTCAGGGTCATCAGAACGAGCCACGTCAAAAAATTCTGCGCGTGGCCGCTGAACCCGGTCATAGTGGATACCACGTCGAATGGGACCTACACACATACACAAACACAAGTACACGTGAGACACGAGATCATCGCTAGGAGTTGAACACGCACCAGCGGATTAGATGCGACGAATGTCTCGTATACCATGAACGCAACAAGACCAACTAAACCCAGGATAAGTGGGGCGAGAACCTGCGCCGAGCCCCATCCGAATTGGATCCCGCCCCACGTCAAGGCGAGAACCGCCGAAGTGGTGGCACCAACCACGAGCACATTCCCACTGTGTCCGCGTGTGTGAGGGGATAAACCAAAACACAAAACACGAGGGCGCACGCATAATCGATCCGACAGAGCTTCTCTCGCAGAGTTCCGGAGGGAGTCTTGAGCCGGACGAACACGAGCGCAAGAATTCCGGCGATTCCAGCGACAGGGAGATTGAGGTCTTGATACATGAGATCCACAGTCATGGAACAAGTGGAGCGAGGGAGAGACGTACAGAACAACCACCGCCACTGCCCCAGCGACGCCAAACCTCCTCCTGTGACCGGTCCGACTCCAACACCGAACGCATACGCCCTGTCCCGAACCATTCATCCAGTCATCCATACATGAGTTTTTGTGTCCGACGCACATCGAAATGATCCCGTTGAACATCCCCCGCTCACGCAGCGGCACCAGATCCCCCACAATGATCTGCGTGACCGACACGATTCCCCCTCCGCCTAAACCTTGTACCGCTGCACATCACGTCAGCGCCACCGAGTAGTCCTAGCGAAGATAAAACACGTTCCCCGACCAGCGATCATCATCCCCATGTTTTGTGCTGCACCGCACACCGCACTGCCCACCGCGAATAAGGCGATCGAGGTAAGAATGACAGGGCGCCGGCCGAAAACCTGGTGTGGCGCGGCGTCAGGACCGCGAGAAGTGGCACAGGAACGAGACGACGCGCCTGCGCGAGCCCCCCACTCAGCGGGATCAACGCCGTCGCGCCGAGCGCGTAAGCCGAGCCGACCCATATGAACTGGGTCCCGTGAAGATCTTCGATGATCGTCGGGAGGGCCGGGGAGACGGAGCCCTGGTGCATGTCGCGTCAGTTGTCAGTGTCAACGGCGGCCGGGGAGTGCGTCAGGAAGATGTGTGGGGAGGAAAATCGAGGTGCGGATGGGAAGAAGGGTACACACCATCTCTATGGCGGTGAGAAACCCGCACACACACAGCGAGAGGAAGATCATCCAGAAACCCAGCCCGCGCGTCGGTCTGGGCGGCGGTAGCACGGCGGACGCGTCCAAACCGGACGACGAGGTCTCATCCCCCTTGGCGGTCGTCGCGGTCGCGTTCATAGTCGAGTTTTCATCCCGTGGAGTCGCAAGCTCCGCAGTTGCGGTCGTGGTCGTCGTCATGGTTCGTGTGGGGAAGGCAAGGCTAGGCAGGGGACCGTGTTGATGCCATGTCGACATGCATCCGAGTCTGACCCACCGGCCCATGCCCTCTGCCTAGCCCCTACCCCCGAAGCCGAGGGGTTGATCCTCATGCCAGCGGACTGAAGGAAGAAGAAAATTTGGTCCCATTTGATGCCACCCTGACGTAATCAGATCCCACTTGACTGAGGTAACCTCACGACCAATGCTCGTTAGCCGAATCTGGAGGGATCCTCGACCGATCAACGACGCAGACTGCGGAGCTCTGTACGACTAGTGTGATTTTCTCTCTCGTCCCATCTCAGTTCTGCAGCTTCGAAACTAGATCCTGCATCTTGGCGTATCAGTGATCTGATACAGGCAAGGTACCGTTACCACTAGGCATTTACATGACTTTCAGATCGATTCCAACCAATGATAAAAATAACAAAATTTGCCGTACATTTCGGTTTCAATGTTTCAACGCTAGTATACAAAGTGTACAGATAATGCTACAACACGTGGATTATACAACAGACCGTGTAGTGTTAGTGTTAGTGTTAGTGTCGATCGCCTCCCCTGTCCATCCATCCATCTACTAGGTAGTAGTACATCTACGGCTCCGAGTCGAGTCTAACCCAAAGACCCCCCTGGCAACAGCAAATCAACGTGGAGCTCGCTCAAAATAGTGGGTGGGGACGCCACGTACCTGGCAATGCATGCTCATATGACTAGTGAACCGCACTTTCTCGCGGCTGCTCGGTGGCATGACAGACTCGGCGGGCTGACAATCCAGCGCGAGCGAGATGCCGCCCTGGAACCGCTGGAGCAGGCGGACGAGGAAGAAGCCTGCCTCGTCGTACGCAACCTAGAAGCACGTCGGTCGGTTAATTGGTGCATGTAACGCGACATGGGAGATGGAGAATGCTGACCTGCGATCCCATGCATATCCTCGGCCCAGCGCTGAATGGGAGGAAGATGTACGGATTCGGGGCGACGTATTTCTGGTACCGCTCGTCCAAGAACCGATCGGGATCGTATACATCCGCTACATGGGAGCACATCATCAGCCACCGCAGCGGAGAAAACATCAGGGGCGGAAATCACACACCATCCGGGCCCCACAAATCCGGTCTCCGATGCAGTATAAACGTAGAAAAGGAACATCTGTCGCGAAACCATCTCAAACGTACGTCCCTGGGAAAGGCCAGAGAGGAGAAACGCACCTAGTCCCGGCGGGGATGTAATACGGCTCGTCCTCCGGCTCGAGGCCCGGCCAAAACGCATCTTTTGTCGACTTCCGGCTGTTCACTGGACTGTGGGAGAAACGAGACTGTTCATGGCCGGACATGAGACAATTAGGCAATCACATACATGACCGGCCACAGGCGGAGCGATTCGTTGAGCACCGCCCGGATGTACTTGAGCGAGCGCAAATCCTGCAGCGTCGGCACCCCATCGGTGCCGAACGCGCTGAAGACCTCGTCCTGGAGCCGCTGCAGAACAGGGGGGTTGTCTGCCAAGGCGTAGATCGTCGATGTGAGCAGGAGCGTAATCTGCCAAAGAAGGAAGGAAGGAAGATTGGAGGGAGACAGCCGATCAGAAACAGGAATCGGATAAGGATATTGAACTCCGGAACGCACCGCATCTCGGCCGCCAATGAGCATGTTCACCACCTCGTCCCGAATGATGTCGACGTCTGCAACTCGTCAGCGATTTATGCGAGCGGTAAAAACTGAAGCCGGCTACCTTTCGTTCTCTGCGTAAGAAAGTCCAATAACGTGAGCCTCACGTCCTCCGGCGCCCCTGTCCTATCCCCCGACAAACTCTCCTCGATCAGCGGGTCGACAAACTGCTTCACGACGCCCATATGCTTCTGGACCTTGTCGCCGAGGATGAGGTTTGCGACACGCCAGAACGGACCATATCGGCTAAGGTCGGCAGCCTCAAACTGTGCTGCGGCGAAACTGTGCAGGAAGGAACTCGAGGCGCAGGAGGGGGATGCGGAAAGCGATTGCACGCTGCGCCCGAAAAGAAACTCGGAAGTGCAGTCGAGTGTGTACCGTGCAGCAAGATCCTGGAGTCACGCGTCCGTCAGCTCAGTTGAACTGGAATGAGAAGAGAGGCTGTTACCTGGATATCAACCGCCTCTCCGGCCTTGACGCTGTCAGCCAGGAGCGCGATCGCGCGATCGGCATTGTAGAGGTAGTCCTGGCGGAAATTGAGGATGCGGTCCTTGCTGAAGTATTGTCGTGATATCGTGCGGTGAAATCTGCGAATTAGGTTGAATGGTGAGTCTCGTTTCTGGTGAGAAGGCTTACTTCCACATGGCACCTGTAGATCTGCGTGAGCCCCAAGGACGAGCAGATGAGGCGATGCGCACCATCAGTGTTGAATATTCCGTCTCCCATGAGAGAGCGAAATTGGGATTTGAACTCGTCTCCTGGAATTTATTCAGCGCCATCCTGTGATGGGACGATCAGATTGACGAACCTTTTTCGAACGAGGTGAAATTCGTCGTGAGCATACTCTGTAGCATCATCGTCAGCCTCACTCCAACCACACATGCACACAGGGGAGCACTAGCCTTGATATGCGAGGGCTCGGTCGTAAAGATCTACAAGGGAGTGGTAAGGCATCTGCTTCTGAATACGCCCAGAGGAAAGGGGTCAGGCGCACACGATTCTGATACATCATCCGGATATTAAAGATGGGTCCGTGGTCAGCGGTCCACTGTTGCAGATTCACACCTGCCGTGGAAGGAAAGTAGTGTTACAGTCATCAGCTGCCACGAATGTGGTGGTGTGGACAGTACGACACGCACTGTTGACAAAATGCCCCTGGTGGAACGTCCTCGCAATGCGGCGCACGATTCCGAGCCCAGCGACCGACGAATCCGACACGAGAGGCGCGAGTACAGCGTTGAACGACCGGGCCCGAGTGTGCTCGTGACGCTGTGTCCAGCGGATCACGACTGCGCATATGCAAGTTCCCAGCGATAGCAGGAGCAGGATGTGCGGGAGAAGCGTTGTTGTGTGGACGGCCGGCTGGTCCGCGCTGCGGATCAGAGCTGCTGCCCATCCGCCAGGGCTGGTCGTCGCCGTCGTCGTCGCCGGGGACCCGCCGAGCGAGACGAATGCGAATGCGAGGCTGAGCACGGGCGAGGAGAGGGCCATGTAGCCTGTTTGGAGGGAAGAGCAGCGCAGTGACGACCGGCCTCCGCGACATACTTAAGACTGACGTCGAAGAACATTGATCGCTCGAGCCGCCTAACGATGTTGGGTACTTAGGTACACGATGATGGATCGTCCTGGGCACTAGCAGAAGAGCTACTTCCTTGCCGAGATAGCGCATGGGCATGTGCGTGAGAAGTGGCAAATTCAGCAGCCGAGACAATTCATCCCCATATAGAAACTGCTCAGGCCATGTGAAAACGTGATGGACCAGCGTGATAGACCCATGTCACAGCCGATGACAGGCTCACGGAAGCGGCTTTAATTATCCGGCATCTCCCCTCCGAGGTCGTCGTCCATTGTGTCCGTCCGCCCGTCCCCCCCTGCGCGTGTCAACCGTGCAGTTCATGGAGCTGTAGATCAGACGTCGCGCAGGTAGCAGATAATCGACGGGAGAACAGAGCCAGCTCGCTTCCGGAGCCATCAGCCTTCTGACTGACACAAACAAAATCACCCAGATACCCAACAGCAGCACGCATGCTGCGCTCTGCAGATCTCCGAGGGAGCGCGCCACCAAAATAACCAGTCTTAATCGGGAGGATGTGCGCGAAAACGAAACAAGCGACCGCCGGAGACCCGATCCATACCTGACATGGACGCTGATGACGATTTCTGGCCTCACACCTGATCGCGGGCGGCCGCAATGATCTGTAGTCCGAACAAGCTGAATTGAAGATTGCAGAGAAGTGAAGTTTGCCTTCTCATGAACTTGATACTGTGGCTTTACTGTAAAAGCGAGAACACACGCCTTGCTCTGTCTCTCTACTTCCCCACACTCCTCCTCCCTGTGATGTCGATCCCAATAGCGGGAATTTTTGCTGTCCGATACGTCTCTGGTGAGCCATCTTTCCCTGGCCAGGACGCGCGCACACAGACGTAAATACACGGACTGAAATTGGGCAGCGATATGTACGGCAGCGGTTTTCTACGACCACCTCCTCACGGCAGACGACGAGATAGAGTTCATCTGGCTCAACAAGGCAGTTCCGCTCCTCGACCGGTTTGGATTCTTTGTGAATCGGTACTTGACGGAGGCGATTGGGATTTACGTCGCGTCGTGTGCGTGGCCTTCTCCTATTGCTCTGCCTAGTCCAAATTGACAGGTTCCGACCATGACGTAGTGTACAGCGGGGCCGGGTTTGGAAACACAGACGAGGTAGGCGGTGACTCGAAGGTCTTATTTAGCATTCTTCGCCTGACTTATTTATGCTGCAGAAGTGAACCAACTCAGTATCGTGCGCGATCCCGGTGCTGACGTGGACGCTATTGATAAGATGCTTCGCCTCGATTTGGATCTTCGGCATGGCCTCGACCGTCTTCAACAGCTTCGCACATTGTGAGTGGCCTCCATGAGCTAGGCTGAAGAGCTAGTTGACAAAGGCTGTCATCCAAGTCGTGATCGTGATGCGGGTGTACCGCCTTTGGGATCGCCGCAAGGAGATCAAATGGATTCTCATCGTCGCATTCACGACTGCGATGTCCGTCGCCGCGGCCTTCGCTGTGCTATCCCTCCGGCAGCTTGACCGTCCGTCGTTTTCCTGTGTCTGTTTATTCCATGGATGACCGAGCTCCAGGCACTGTAACGTTCACCCCGGCGCTGGATATGTGCACGATCTCCACAAAGCCGGAGTCCCTCAAGTTCTGTCTTGCTGCCTTGGTACGTCCTTTCAGTCTTCGACTCCTTTGCCTGGCTCAGTGAAGATGAAATATAAAGACCGCTTTTGACTTGTTTATCATCGTGATGACGATCTTTAACGCCCTGGACCGCCCGCATAGACACCAGGCGGATGTAATGACGGCACTGCAAAATGACGGGGCGCGTATGTTCGTGGTGAGTTAGACATCGGATATATCACAGGCCGATCTGACTCGGCCGCTCAGTGTCTATTCCGTGCGCCAAACGTACTGAAGATTGCAACCGTTTTGTTGACCTACCCATCCATCTAGTGCTACGTCTGACCAGTTTGATAATATCTATCGTTGGCGACGTGCGTCTTACTCGCTCCATGAGTCATCTGACGCTCATCAACTCAACCCAGAACACTTCATTCTTCCCTGCGCTCCTGTACGTCCTGCCAGGCATGAGGATGTACAATGTGCTTTACCTCAGATAGTGTGTCCTGGTTCATGTGTTCCATCGTCAATTCGCGGATCCAGCTACGCGTGGAAGGCCTTCGCTTCGTGCAATTCACAAGGGCGTTCGATACTAGTTTCCTGGAGCTGCATGATCTGTAGACATCAGAAGTGGATCACTTGGCAGAGATAAGTCAGAGATTTATTTATTAGATTTATCTGCTGTTGTATTATGTAACACCTAGTTAACACACTTACCATTCCATCCTTTCTTCCAAGGTACTTCACAGCCATCTAAATCGCACGATTATCGCCAAGTAACCTAGTTACTTGGTGCAAGCATCCCAAATGATCGATATGGCCGACTAGAAGCTCTTGTATATCAGACGTTCAGTACTAAACTTTAGATTCCTACACGTCAGGGACCCCATTCTTCTGACCCACGAGAAATGACTCAAAGAATGTAACTTCTCGTCGTACTAGTTGAAGGATTGTTTTTTTTTACGTTTGAGATGGCAAAGAGATTGATTATATTCTGGCATAAAAAGGAAATACCTGAAGTTTTCCCCTTAATGACTATGTGTGTCACAGCAGTTGTCTCTGTAGGTTGGAAGTTGGATCAACTGAAAGCACTTCTTACCAGTTAGCAATATTTTGCCCCAATTAGACGTCTGAGTTATGAAGACGGCTGCAAATAGGACGTTTCGCAATTTTCCAGGACACAGATCAGTAATTACAGTTTATGACGAGACGTTACGACACAGCCTACGATCCTTATTGAACTTATCGAAAGTCTCAGAAGACAGAAGGGAGTAGGGTTCCAGATAGCCTTATTACGCTAGTCATACTTGGAGCCGATGAGATGATTCATGAACAGTCATACGAAAGTCTCAGGGTGAACACCACCGATCCGAGTCAGCTCGTTTTGTAGAAGCATGTAATCCAGGTCAGTAGGGATATTTCTTGGATATCAAGCCGTGCTTGGATATCCTTCAAGTTGTAAGTCTAAGTTGATTATACATGTCACTTGTCGCCCCGTTGCCTACCTCACGACAGGTGTGGACGGTTGTCTCATCACCGCTTTGACCATTCGCTCCCGCTGTCACGTGTCATCATTCATTTCGCTATTGCACCACGCACATCGATTGACGTATTGATAGCCACGTCGGTGTCCGATTCGTGAAGCTCTGGCATATCTAGAGACATGCTTCTCATTTTCGTCTGCATCGTGCACAAGAAGTCTGACCGCCGTTGTATTTACATCCACCAGAGAGGTGTGCCATGCTTTCATGTCCAGAACCCCTCATTGACTGGCCCACTTGCATGTGAAGTCCATATTTGATCAGAACAACACACGAGGATCAATACCTGCCAAGAAAAGCCCAGCTTGTGCTCGACTCGGGATGGGAATAGGTCGATACAGATCCAGATTCTAGTTTGTTCTACGCGGGTCTATGCGGGCTTTACCTGCTCCCGCTGGCAGCCGGTAGCCGCCGGAAGGTGCACTCTTTGCAATGACTGAGAAACAAGCAGATCGCAGCATCCGACAAGCTCAATGAAGACTTCCTGGGGCACAATATCTGTCCAGCGCGATTCTTGATCAGTCGTTCCATTCAGCAAAGATCAGAAAGCAGTTAAACTGAAACTAGGCAGGAGACGCACACGTGACGTCGGGCGGCTGTACCTTCATCACGTGTCTAAACCGGTCAGCTGAGCCGAGAGATCGGAAGCTTCAAGCTGGCCGCCTTCTCTTCTTGACCTCCACGAGCAAGCACGGTCGGGGCAAGCACTCCCCCGTAACTTCTCCGCTTCAACCCCTGATTACACGTACTAATCTATGCCACATAGCTTGTACCCTTGGACCACTTTGCCGCTCTGACGGGACGGATCTCACTAGGCCGCGGCAGCGAATTTTCACAGAACTGAGGCAATGAAGTCAATCCAATGCTTGATTTCGCCAGCTGCAAGTGATCCAGTGTCCTTCCCCGAGCGCCACTCGGAGCGAGAAGCGACGGTATGTAACAGCACTCGCTGCCTTCCCTTACTTAGCTCGACAGGAGCAGGGCCCTGATGGGGCCCGTACCTTGCGTGCGCTTCTGTTGGTCATAGAAGTCGCGGGTCAAGAAGAAGGCCGACGGGAGCGTGCAGGATTCCGCCGATGGAATGCTATTCGAGAATGTTGGGAGAGCAGTATAAGTACAGAGGCGGGGCTGCGGTGTTGCATTGTCTGCAGAGTTCGATCGTCTGCATACTCACAACCCACTGCAAAACGCGATGCACGCTTCAATCTTTCTCCAGCTCGCTGTCTTCATCGGAATCGCCGCGTCGTCCGCGCTGCACTTCGTCGATCCACGGGACGGCGCGCCCAAGTACTACACCCAGTGTGTGGAGGAGGGGCAAATGGCGATCGCTTTTGTGAGTGCATTTGTTTGGCTGTCGTCTCTCCAGGGCTCACGAATGGATGCGCAGGACGATGGGCCGTGGATCTACGAGTCGGTTTTACATCAAGTTCATAACCCAGTTAGCTCACCCGCTCCGAACGCAGGCCTTACATCCTCGACGTCCTCAAGCAGGCGAATATCACGGCGACATTCTTCCTCAGTGCGTACTGACCTTATGACGAGCGCTTCGGCCTGAATCTACGGCTGACTTTGTGATCAGACACGAACAACTGTGCGTCCGCGGTGATCTTGAGAGTCGGATCAAAGCGAAGGACTGATGGATGGGATAGACGGCTGCATCTACAACGAAACCCTCCTCGAGCAAGTGCGCGCGGTCATTGCCGCCAACCACGTCGTCGGATGCCACGGCGAGCGGCACCTCGACCTGACCACCCTCAACGACACCCAAAGTAGGTCGCCGCGTCTTCTTCTCCGGAACAGCTCATTGATTTGCATCAGGGAACGCGGAGATCGGCAATTGCCTGAGTGCGTCATATCCATTTGTCTGCACCTCCTTCAAATTCGCACGCACACTCACCCGTTCTCCGCAGCTGGGATCAAGAAGGTGACAGGGTACCTCCCGGCGTTCTTCCGGCCCCCGTACGGCGCACAGAACGCCGACGTCTTGAAAGCACTGGCCGCATTCAATCTGACCGCTGTTGGCTGGGACGAGGAGTACGTAACTGTTTCCCCCTCGTCGGGCCGCAGTGAGCGTCGCTGATGGGACCCCACTCCAGCACCGAGGACTCTAAAGAGGGTGCGACGTACGCAAACAGCAAAGCGGTCGTAGACGACATGGCCAACAGCGGGTTCGACCAGGGCATGGCTTTGTGGTTGATGCACGAGACCTATGGTGCGTGCTTTTTTGGTTCTGAAATTCTCACGGCACTCAACGCGTTACTAGAATTCACTGCGTGCGTGGTGTTGATCTGACTGGATGGTTCTGTTTCATCCTGAACCCCCGTATAGGAAGCAATTGTTGCAGTACATCATCGACGTGGGTAACGACCAAGGCTTTACCTTCGTCACTGTCCCCGAATGTCTCGGCATGAAAGGCATGGAGTATCAGTCCATTGGCCAGCCTGCCAAGCGTGACGTGAGTTCGACTTTTGTTTTTGTCCATTGCCCCCTACTAAATGCTCTCTCTGATTAGTTCACGTGGCATTGCTGATTTGCGAGGATGTGTTAGCCATGATTGTAGTGAGACTAGTCCAATTCGACGAGAGTTTCAAGAACGGGGTTTTGCAAGAAGGCGAAGAGTAAGAATAGGACATCCAAATAGTAAGGAAACTCCTTCGCATATCACAAGCTTGTCTTCGACTCCGAGTGCATGCCTTGCTTTCCCCCACCGAATGTGACCTGTTCCAAGAACACACCATAATCCGCCGTCTCAATTGCAGTAGCACCCGGGACGGTGTCCCGCTGAAGTAGCAATCAGAATGAGTAAACAGATCAAGAAAGCAGGGGCAGCGTACAGCGAAAATAAGATGTCCAACAAAGCCTCCAGCCTAGATGACCATTAAGCTTCAACACCGAAAGCGCATTCTCATAGCTTCACGGACCAGGATCGAGAAGATCACACCCCCATTGTATGACATCACAGCCAACATCAGGAAGTACCCCGCGGCAAGCTGGACGACGAAGAACAGGCTGCGCGCGAGCTGCTGCAGGAAAGTGGGGCGGTACGGCCGGTCGGATCGCGTGAGAGCGCCGACGCCGGAGCGGTTCTGGGTGAGGTTGTCGCCGGCGAGCGCGTTCTGGTAGAGACGCAGCGTGAGGCGGTCGTATGCGCGGCCTGTGCGGCAGAACGCTTCGAGGAGGAGAGTGAAGACGAAGAATCCGAGCAGGGAGAGCGCATATTGGCCTGTATTGAATCAGAGAAGAGACACGGGCCCGAGGGCAGAAGTCGCACGGGTAGTGTGGACGTGCCAAGAGTCGGCGACGAAGCACGCATCCACGGTGTTCCTGGTGGAGCGTGAGCAGTGCAAGGAGTGAAAGAGAATATGTACCAGTTCCACAGCATCGAAGGTTTGCAGCTGGATACATCGGGGGAGCTCATAGTGGACTAGGGTTGAAAAGGATATCATCGTGTTCTTGTCGCGCAGTACTGTTTATGAGCAGTAGCGGATATTGTGAGACATTAGAGGGGTGGAAGTTGTTTTCAACGTCTCCGCCCCCGACTCGCGGCAACCGTTTCAAGTCAGTAGACAAAACTTGTTTCCGCACTGTTGATGATACTTATATAAACTGATGGGGCCTGCACGGACGATACCGGGCATCTGAGATAGTGACCGTGTAACGTTCTACCACATCACCGTTTAATTCCGGTGCACGTGCATCCGACAAGCTGTCAGACTTGACGTTTTCCATTGTTGCGTTGACACAATCGTATGCTACATTGTATATGCAGGCCCTCCGTTTGTCTCGATGGTTTGATGACTATTGTCTTGCCTTGTGTCTTCCGTACCTTCCTAGCCAGGGCCTTCTGTCGCCGATCGAGGTGGTCCATCTCCGCGCTGTTTCACATAAATCAGCTCATCCATTTCTTTGCTTCACGATTCAGTGCCACTATCCGCAGGTCTCAGCCTTGCCACCCCACACCCCCAGGATACTGAGCCGCACACACATCCCGGTGCCACCCCCGAACTGTTTCAATGCCCACCGCGTCATCCTCCTCCTTCCCATCCGTGGGCTGCTCAACGTCTGACCGTAGCCCCATCGATCTCGACCACGAGCAGAGCATCGCTGAGCACCAGACGAATCCGATGTGGGCCGGTCGCACGCCCACCGCACCCCCAGCTGAGCGCCAGCACATCTCAGACGATGTCAAAGTCCTGCCGCTTCCCGTTGGTTTCACGTCATACAACGCGGTGTTCGTCCCCATCGGAACGCGCAAGCAGGATTTAATCGAGGTACCGGCCCAGGGAGCGTACCTTGCGCATGTCCGCGCGCACGAGGCGGCGATGCGGCCGCGGCCGGACATACATCCAAGTCTGCTCCAAACCCCGCATCCCGAGATACCCCGAAATGAAGCGGCCTCCAGGCAGCGGCCGCCAGACTTGCAGGTGGACATGCAGAACGCGCAGTCGAATGTACTGCTCACTGCGAACACGCCGGACACCGACCGTGCGTCACAGCAGCAGCAGCAGAACTCAGAAGTGGACGCGGACGAGGATGACTGCGGCAACTTCGGGTTCAGAGACCCACCCACGCCTGGTATCGTGGACCCAGGTGTTTCAAAAGGATTGGCGAAGATGCTAGGTCTGCGAACGCATCCGACGCGGTCGAGTTCTGAGTGGAAATACGGAAATGGGAATTGACTGGAATGGGAATGCGGTGCCACCGCCACCCATACCTCCGATTCCATTTTCATGTACATAATAGCTAGCTACGTAGCGTATTTATGACCGATTTCCCCATATTCATTCATCCTCTGGTGGCCTGAGCACACCGCCTCGAGCGCTTTGGCACAGGGCGAGTTGACCGGTGATAGCCGTGTCAGCAACATATTTGCTGCCTGGTTCAAAACTCGGCCCGCCTCTGGCTCGTCCAACCAATTAAGAGTCTGAAGCTCGACATCATCCAGAAACGCGTCCCCAAAACTGTGGTAAACTTCGAACAACTTGCTCTGCAGGAGCTGGAGGATGAGCGAATCTGCTTCGGGCTGGGCGATCTCGATAAGCGCAGCGAACGTCTGTGTGAACTGGATCTGGAACTTCGTAGGGATGCCGGGCTCATTGGGTGTGACGTGTGCGAGGATTTCGAGTGTTTCGCTCGCAAGGTACGGTAGAGGTCGGGCCGTAGCAGCGTCTTGTGAATCCTTCAGTGCGTAGACACACTGGTCCAGGAACTGCGTGAGTATGATCAGCCGCAGTGTCAAGAGCGTCAGGGTCGGGTGTGAAGAAACCAGGGCATCCGATGAGCCGAGTACTGGATAGCTATCGACGAGTAGGTTTGCTGCCTGGACCCATGAGTACTGCGGCATCGGGCCGTACGAGTTGAGCATGTTGTTTTGGAGCAAAAATGTCACGGATTGGGATATAGGATCGTCAGGAACAGTTTCCCGCGTTAATCTGATAGCCTCAAGCAAGCCCCTGGCGTTGTTTTCCCCGGATTTGTGTGACCAAGCGGATATATATTCGATGGCGATGGCTTGCGAAACGCTCCACAAAGCTTTCATGGCTGGCACGAAACTTCCCGCTATGTTTCCTTGGAGACCCGACTCTGCAGCCTGGACAGCCTGAGAGCAGAGACACCGCGAAATCCAAACCTTGTCGCCGCGCCGGAGAACGGAGGACTGGGCGCGATCGTGATGGGTTGTAAGATAGAGGGCAAGGTAGGGCATGACAAAATCTGGCTCTGCTTCGGCGACCGAGGACTGGCAGATGCTGAGCAAAGTGGCGAGGATGTCGTCCGCGTGCATCGAATACGTCTCTCGCGTCGACTGGACACTCACAATGGAGTTGAAGGCAATCGTGAATGTGTCGATTTTGTCGAGCGGCACGGCCGCTCGGTCGAAAGTGAAGAAGCGGCTGGTTGCCTCGAACTCGTACGGGCTTTCGGGCAGAGCGGCGGAGTCGATCATGAAGTTAGCAAACAGCTCGTATTCAGCGTCCGTCACCGCTGCCAAGAGTTGCTCAAGCGCATCCGTGGCAATTACGGCGTCCCATCCCCCAATCTGCATCTCGAGGAGATCGCGCCGCGCAGTTTTCACGGCGGATGTCTGCATATGCTGTGGAAGACCGCTGACACGGGAGAACACACCCCAATACATGCGCGGCGTTTGATTCATGCCCACATGCTCCAGCTCGAAGCGCAAATGATTCGATACGTCGAGGAGCGCGTTCAGATAGCACACCGTGCGGGCGGAGACCAGATGATGCGCGACTATATCGCTCTGGAGCGAAAGATCCAGTATGTCCCATTTGATGTTCTCGAGGGGATGGAACACCAGAGGCGCTGAGTCTGGAGATGCTCGAGGGCCAGAGGGAATGGTAGCAAGCGTCCACAGCGCTTTGAGAACGGATACTGTTTTCCGGAGTCGGACATCGTTGGGAACCCACACGCTCTGTGAACCGCGGAGAAAATGCTCGATGCGTTGCACCAGACCAACTCGGTGGTCCTGCAACAGGGAGCGAAAGGGCGCCTGGTATATTCTCCGTCCTTGATGAGTGCTCTGATTCCACAGCGCGTCAGGGATCCCCTCGATGAAAGGCTCGAGCTCTGCATCGTCCGAGAGCGAGCGAACCGTCCATGACAGCGCGCGCTGGTCTCTCTGATCGCGGTCGCCTGTCTTAGCCAATGCAGAGTGTCGGATGCTGTCGATGATAGTTCTTCCTGGACCAAAGGGCGGCTTGATATATGCGGTAGAGTTGAAGAAACGCAGAACCAGCCGCGCGAGGGACCACAAGGCGTTCGAGAGCGGTGTGCGGAATGGACAGTTGAGGAAGGCCACGGGAAGAAGGGTGAATCCGGCATATACCAGGGTCACTAGCCCGAGCATGCCAGCGGAGAGTATCATAATTCCCGTGTGCACGGGGATCAGAAATGCGACGAGACCGCTGAGAAAGAACAAAAGCGATGCGTGCAACAGCAGCGGGATGACTTCCACCACCGCATGCATGTTAAAGCGACGCAGCCCGTAGTACAGGAACGAGAACACACGCGCGTGCACGAGCGGGGTCGAATACATGTCCACTTTGTGCAGATACTCGCGCGCCCACTGCTCGATCAGCGTCGCAATCAGCGCACAGCAGAGACTGAGTCCGAGGCTGATGAACCAGAGCGCGTTGCACACCACGGAAGATACCGGTGGGGAGAATGTCAGAGACGTGTCCTGCACGGCTCCGATCCCCGTCGTCCCGTTGGCCAATCCAGCGAGCTGGATCGAAATCTGCTGAAGCACCGCGGCAGTTGTATCCGCGGAATTGGGTGAGAGATTCTTGTAGCTATCGATGAGGAACGCCGTCAGAATGGCCGAGAACAGACCCGCCTGTCCGTGGTTCGTAAGGCAGTGCTGCCAGATCGACAGAAAAGGGGCGCACGAAAATGAGCATTCCGTCCATGTCGCTGCGCCAGCTCTCGACCAGCGCACGGTCGTACTTCTGCGCTTCGGAGACATAAACGGTCCATAGCTTGGCACCGGCTGCTTCGTCCTCGTCTGCCCGAGGCTGCGTGTCGAGCTCGTAGCTGAGGGTCATGGGCAAGATGCTGATACAGCGCACCAGGGCGGCTGATGGATGATAATCATCCTTGATTATGGCCCGCCAATGCTTGATGAGATTCTCTCGTCTGATCACGGCCGTGCTGACTTCTGCCACTTGGAAGTCGCTGCAAAAGAATTTGTTGGCTTCATGGAGCTCCAGCAAGGACAACTTCTTCGAACCAAGCAAAAACAATGCTTGTTCGAGGATCGTAGACGAAGCCGCGTATCACGTCACTCACAGGGCTATGTGATGATGAGTCACAGGATATGGCACGTGTGGCTGGCGTTGATCAAATGATGATCGATCTTATCATCACAAAGATCACATGCACGGCACAAGTGTCATATCCATTTCAACATTGATTCCAGCATCTGTAGTGAGCGAATTCCGGGAAATTTGAGACCAGGCTATAAATATAGGACCATATACGAGTTACGAGAGAGGATTGGGAGGACTCACCGTATCAGTATTGCAGATTTTTCAACCGAAGTGTCTCTGATGTCTTTCCCGTACTTAGTCCTCAGAGGAGAGGCTCAGTCGGAGTACTGTCGAATCCAATTACCAAATATCACCAAATTATGCTTCGGGAGATCGCAGCAGTCTCTTCCTCCACTGATCTGATATTAGCTCCAGGTTTCATCAGAAATATGATTTCAGCCACGCTCCATGCAATTTCGGAGACCAGCCGTGTTTTCAAATCGGCTGTGCCGTAAATATCACGGTTGGGTGAACCGTGCCCAGAAAAACAAGACGCCCTATGTCCCAGGAAATGCTGCTGGGTAATGTACTCGTACATACGTCCTCACGCGGAGAGGATGTCCGCGTGCACCGGATTTCCATCCTGCTGCGTTCCATCGAGCTCTGGTAGCCTTCTATATTGCATCTCGAGATCCTCAGTTTCTCCTCTACCCACGCGATCAGCGACTCTCAAACCGTCCTGATCAATCAGATATGTTCGTAATAGTGTGAGTGCACCGGCGTCGGCGGATCCCGGCAGGCCGCCTTCCACGAGAAGCTGCGGATGGTCTTTGTGCACTGATTGCAATAGATCATTTCTCTGTGCCACATGCACGAGACCGAGGGGTGGAAACATCCGAGAGCCTGTGTCTGAATGAGTTTCGAGGTACTGTTGAGAATTGGGAGAAGAAAAACAGACGAAAGAGGAAGAAGGAGATAGAGGCGCCGAAAAGAACCGAGAAGAAGCCGTTGATTGAGGACCAGAGGCCACCCAAAGTGGAGACTCCGTTGATGAAGGATCTATCGATGTGGTCCTCCAAATGCAATATCGGATGTGAGTTCTGCTGCACGAATGTGATAGAAGATATCGATCGATTTCCCGAGTGTGCAGGAAGGAGGGAGGCGATTTCGGTAATTAGGAGCTCTAGCTTGGACTGTGGTGTACATAGATTAGAACATACGTTCGACGCAGTAGAAATGTCAGTGATTAGGTACCCACACCGAAGGTTCCACGAAATAATTGCGGGCCGTTGAATATCTTGTGTGATGTCCACGTTATGGCAGCGACCGTGTTCCATCCAGGAAAAACCGCCACCGGTTTCGTCGGTTGTATGAGCCGCTCATCGTTGGCGCGAAGCGCATAAACTTCAAGGAAGCTGAATGCACTCGTCTCCGAAGACCAGTTAGAGAATTGGACCTGAACCCCGGTGCTCGAGTTGCTCCAGGATATGTTCGGACCTGCTCTGAAAATCAGATTATCTTTACCAGGATGAGGGACATGACTTGCACTCGAACACCGCGTACTTCTTCTCCGATTCCTCGGCAGTCGCGACAACATATTTATCAAAGGGGCAGGACTGATTTGAGTCCACTACGCTGACTTGGACATTGATCACGGGCAAGATATGGTTTCGATGCTGTGAGGGGGTCTCTATCAGAATTCAGGTTGTATGTTCGCGGGGCCCCTCACTATCATGATAGTCGCATTCCCCTCGATGACAATATGCTCCTTTGTGATATCGGCAGTCTTTGTCTGACTCGCGATGGTGTAGGTCAGCGTTGCACTCTCCAACGGCGCAATTATCGTATACGAGATGAGTAAGCACGGGGCTGCAAACGTGAAGATCGAGAGCAACAGGCTGCGTGTGAAGATGATGAGACGGCTCTCTCCTCTGCGTGGATGGCCTCTATTCATAGAAGTTCGAAACAAATGCTCGAGCACGCACCTGATGAGAGCCGAACCCAGTGATCTCGTGAGCAATATCCGTGACGGGGTATAAGCTGGAGATGTCGGCGACGAAGCGAGCATGAAGTCGAAGGGCTGCCACATCGCAGTTCTAAGAGACAAAGATGACGCCGAGACTATGGACTGGATCTGGAGATACATGAGAGGCAGAAAGATCGCGTTGAGGGTTATCATTGGAGAGACATTGGGAAGCTTTTGTTGCACCAGGTCGCTCCAGGACCAATAATCGACAAAGAGCAGCTCCAAGTCTGTTCGAGTCCGAGTTAACTAGTATTTAACGATGTCGTCGATGATCAAACGCACATGCGATTTCAAGCGCCATGACCAGGAAGTCGATCACCCAAAGATAATATCTAAACGGAAACAGCCTAGAAAAGTCATGACGCAGATTCCAGTCTGCTCGCGGGCATGATCAAACCTGAACCCCTGGTGAAAAACCATGAGCACCATCCCCCCGGTCCAAAAAGCATCATCCGAAAGTCCAAAGTTATTGAAGACAGAACGATCTGTGCCCCAGAAATCCCATGTAATCCAGGTTTCCATCGCCAAGATATGTAGGACGAGTGCGAGAATGAGGGCACGAGCAGCGATGACGCGGACTAGAGCACTTCGGAAGATCGGGTGCACACTGGGATGCATTGCGAAGGGAATCGAGTTATCTGCTGAGGCAAGGCACAGTGTGGGATGTTATAGCCGCGAGTCTCTTTCTCACGATGGAGGAAATCAGACATTCGTGGGAGCCAGACTCAATGGACAACGATGAGATAAAGTGGCGTGGTGCGGCCGCATGCTCACCCGTCCAAACTCAGTGACAGCTTGCACTTTCCACGATTCAGTTCCGGTGATTACAGTAAATAACCAATGGCTCAGACAATCGTAACTGTAAGCAAGGTCGTGATTCCATCCGTCGCAATGCCTAAACGACAAGTGTCGATATCGGAAGGACCCATGCGTGAGTTGAAAGCGCTTACCGTGATTGACCCTGTCACGAATGATCGGTCATCAAAGAATTTGCACGCTTCAAGTCTCCAGACTCACCCGTTTGACCCGGCCGCGAGCAGTCCAGTCACGTTGGTTCCGGTAGTGGTGTATGTCACTCCGCCGTGACTGTTCGTTCCAATGGCCGCAGCGGAGAACAGATCCCGGCCTTCAAGAATTAGCCTAGAATGAACCCTCAGTGCAACGTAAGATCGCACCGATGTCATATCCATTGGGAATGATGTTGTGGTTCTCAGTAGCAGGCTGAGATGCGTCAGTGCACGTAGTCAGGATAGATAGAGATCGCAGTCTTACTTCTTCTTTGGAAACACTGTGAATGATTGAGTTCTGGACAATGCTGGACAATCAAGAAGTAAACGCACGCAAGGAACAGGGCGCCAGTGTCTGCGGCGGATCCATTCTGCCGGTACATGCTGGTTGCATGAGGGGTTTAGCGCCCGCTCGCGCATCTACAAGCCAGCTTACCGGAAATGATCCCCGCCGATCAAACTTTCGAGGCACGTGCCGACGTTGGAATTTCCGTAGTCTTGGCGATATTCGACCTGGAACCGACGCATATGACTTTTCAGCCCAGAAACGAGAAATAATGATACTCCGCACCGTTTGCGCTACCCATCCATTTCCGTCTCCAAGATTGGCAGTCTGCGGAGTTCCGATGTGCAGACCGAGACATTCGAACGAGCTGTATGAAGAGGCGATTACTTCCAAGGCCCACGCAGTGCATAATACAGTTGTACGTACTATCCGATCGCCTGCACGTAGTTGAGGAATCCAGAGTCGGTGAGCACATCGGGAGAGCTCAGGCCCGAGATAATGACGTTCAGCGGCTCGCCGAGGTCCGGTGCGCCGATTCCGCCATTTGCTATCGAACGACGTGGCATGGTGAACCGGAAGGAGATCGACAAGCAGGTAGACATACCATCGTCGAGCATCGACCCTCCATTGGCGGTAGGATCGGCATACGCCACGGCGCGCGGCTGAGCCTGAACAGCGATAGACGATACGCCGAGCGTCAAGGTCGCTAGGACGAAGAGCGGCTGGAGGGAGGCGAGGTGCATCGCGTGTCGAGAAGGTAGCGCCAGAAGCCTACGCGGTCGCAGGCAAAACGGGTGTCGTCTTTAAATGGGTGCTAATAGCCAGGAAGAACGCGCGAGATGTCATGCGTGGTGCGGAAATCGCAAAGAACGTGCGATGGCAACAATCCTAGGTTAGTGCGATGCACATGGGCATGCTTCTTAGGCGCGCTGTAGGTCTATTTAGGGAATGAGAACGAACGAGGAGTGAAATGACACGTAATCGCACCGAACCCATGACCGGTGGCCAATGACTGCAGTAAAGATCTTGGAAGAAGGATGGTTTACCTGTACCTAGGTTTCTAGGAATTCAACACCATCACGGAATTCGCCGTTCGGCAATCAACTCACGACAGGAACGGGGAGGATCTCTGATTATTCCTGACAAAGCTAGCGGCAGAACGAAACGCTCAGATTTAAAAAATTCAAAGGATCAGGGCCTGAGTATCCGGCCTACGGATGATCGCCTGGAAAGGTCGATATCGCGTTCAGAACGTTGGCTGCCGAGCGCCTGCCGAGACGTCGCATGCATGTCATCATGAACATGGCAACGACATATTGGACAACTGACCTAGGTCGGCAGTCGGCAGTTGCCCTACGAAGGTCCTTGTCCGCGAGGGCGCCAGCCTTTCGGTCCAAAATCCTGAGAAATTTGACTGGTGGCTGCATTAAGCCATTGCCATGAAGTAAACAAAAGTTCTATAGTTGGATACTACGTAGTACCACTGATCCTCTGCACTGAATGCTCAATAGAGATTCGGAGTGCGCCACGACCCTTGTAATTGGCTTTTTTTGGAAAAGTCAATTGTAAAAACTGATGCAGTGGCCCATCCAGGAAATGTGCTTTTCGTGTGCATGATCCGTGCGCTGCTAAGTTGACGAAGTACTTTTTTAAAAATTTAATTATCGGATCAAGTTCAGTTTTGCAGTGTGATATGTGATCAAGCCTTGTAGTTCTCATGTTGATGCAGAAGGCTCGATCGTCTGGATCAGCAGGTGCTCCTGGGTTTATCATGAGACGAGAAAAATTCGCGTTCAAGAGTGATAGCACCGTTTCGAATCCTTACATATTGCAATCTATGTTCAGGTTTTGTGGACGAACATCAGACGACGTCCAGTTAGCAACAGAGTGACACCGTAGTTGGGCGTTCTTTATTGGAAGATGACCATCTAAACGGACACGTGATATTCGGCGATTGCGTCGTAGGACGAGTTTCTGACTAACCCATCGGACTCTTGAAGGAGCTCAAAGATCTAATAAACTCAGGGAGTTACATACTGGACCGTTTTTTACTGTCGGAAGTGGGAGAGACAGAGTGGGTGGTAACACCCTCTTCGAGATCAATGGGCAGAGTATTGACATTGTAATCGCCGCAGCATGTGAAGTATCAAGAAGAGCACGGGTGGCGGATACGGCTCTGATATTGCTTCCAGAGCATTATAGGGGAACGGAAAGCTATGGGTCTCTGGCCAATGCAGGTATCTGGGGTTCACTTTCGCTGGAAACCAAGCGCTCGATTCTGCGAGTAGTAAATCCAGATTCTACAGTTTTTTTTGGATTTCAGACTTGCACACGAATGAAGGTAGGAGCACCGCCTACCTGACTAGAGGGAATGGATCGTGCGGCGAAAGAGTCAATCGCAGCGATTGGTGTGTCGGGGGCGTTTGGTCATTTCTCTTTACTGTCTTACCCTTCTTGGCAATATCCGAAAAGCCTACACCGATGCGCGCACACAGGTTGAGGCTGTTCAAATGCTGTTCGGCATCATCAGTGCCACCGAGAGAGCAACGCTGACCATACCTGCAAGCTTCGCATATACGCAAGGCATTCATTTTCGACCCCGGGTACTCAGTGACTCAGCCGAGCAGAGACCGAGATAATTGCCTTCAGTGGTTTGCCGAGACCAGGTGTGTCATCCTCCTCCCTCCAGACGGGTGTCTTTCGATTTTGGCGAAGGGAACAGAAATATGATCTCTTGCTTGAAGATGAGCTCTGCTCCCCGATCCGGGTCGCAGAAGTCGGTAGTCCGGGTAGAACGAGGCGTGGCCATGGTCGAGCGACAAAAAAAATTGGATTGATCGATGAGCACCGCCACTCCTTCATTCCTCCTTCATACTACCACGCACACCCCCAGGCTACTGTCAATCGTTCAACACAATTTACCATGGAGAAGATCGCGAAAACTTTTTACAACTCTCTTTCACGCCTATTTTTGCTCTCGCCCGGTGATATCTCAAACGATACGGCGTGCTTAGACCACCTGGACGCAGACGCGGACGCTGGCCATCGCTATCGTCAAGCGGAGGAAGGAGAGTCGGATTGCTATTCGACGCAAGCTCCAGTGGATACTTCATCAGAGTCACGCTCAAGCGAGGGTAGCCGCGTGAGGCGTGCACGGGCGAGCAGCGCTAGTGCTGTCGAAGGCAACTACTGGAGCTGGGGCGGCCCGAGTGCGGGTCATTGTCTAAGGCGAAGGAGCACTGGCGATGAACTGGATAGAAATCTGAAGGTGTGTGGGTGACGGTGCTCCGTAGTCGTTGCGTGTGACTGATACGCATGGGCCAAGATGGACGCTGGAGTCGGACTCACTCGCACCTCCCCGGATCTTTCCTGCCCTCTTTCCTGTCCCCCCAATCCTAACGATGCCCTAGACGCAAATCTGTCTCTTTCAGCGACTCCTTCCTCTCACTTGGCGCTGGCTGGCTCATTCCGTTTGGACTCACTTACGGCTTGTTCATCGCTGCCGCAAGAGCACCAGCACGACTTCACTGTCAACATTCAGGAAGATTCTCTGGACTCTTGCAATCTCGACGTGTCGTACGAACTCTCGCTAGGTAGCGACACCACCTCGTCTTCAGTAAAATTTTGTCTCGAAGTCGAGGCACTGCTCGCACTCTCCGATCTCCCCACTTCTGGCAACTTCAACTCCCAATCTTCGTCATCACCACATTCAAGTATAACCTCACCGACGATCCGACACGTAACTGGTCTCGGCCTCGTCAAGGTGGACAACTCGCCCTTCTCCAGTCTGGGTCTGCTCTCTTCACTTCATCCTTGCACGGGCACGCAAGATGAGCCTGGTGTCGTATCGCGGGAGCTGCTAGAAGAGCTCGAGCAAGTTTGGGTCGGGCCGAAGAAGCGTCCGCCAAGGGATCTGTCTGCTGCTGGCACGATCTCGAGTGACATGAAGCGGGTACAGACAGCGATGGAAAGGAGAGCCAGTGTGGTGGTATCGAAAGCGCTCTGGCGCTGAGTCGTGATGGGCCTCTGGGTAGATGTTGCAGTAATGCTTCCGTACATTTGATCATTTGAGCAGTCGTTCTGCTGTGCATCTGTTTCCGTGCAATGTGGTCTCCGGGTGGACATAGTATACCATGTCAGGACAATCCACGTCCAGGATCGCCACGTTGTTGACATGGCTTTGTACACGTCCTCGAGGTTTTTGAGTCCGCAAACGAGACAATGTGGGAACTGTAAGCAGTCCCGGTCTACATTGTCAGCTTGTACAGTTATATAGGCGCACAGGCTTTGTGCACGCCGTACAAACCTACCCCGTTTCTTGGTACGGCTCATCTCGTATCATATCTTTCCCTGGGGTCCGTGTCATTCGTCTACTCATGCTCTCTATCACAGGCTCATGTTATGATTCAGGAACCACCTCTTCGCCTTTCCTCTTTTCACAAGCTATCGACGACCACTATTGACGGCGCACCCCTCTTCCCCTCCCGATCCTCCGTACCTGACACACTCGTGCGCTCCTTCACGTGCCCTCTCGCGGAGACTCATCGTCCCATCACCATTATACAGGCGCAGGCCGCCCTTCATTTCATCTTGACCCCCTGACTACTGCACCACCACCCATGCATTTTACTCTCAAACTATCCGCTGCCCAATCCCCACCCCATGCACTTCATTACGCGCGCGGCATCGCGGGTATCCGATGGGAACAGCGGATGAACGCCTTCTCAGATGGCAAGAATGTGCATATGGACGTTTCCGGGATGGAGCTGCATTTGAAAGCGAAAGACGTGCAGACGTGCACCTGGGTGTTTCCAGCACGGGGTCCCGACGGTCCGCCGATTACTCGTTCGAGATTGTATTACCCTCCGGCCGTCCCGCAGCAAAACACGTACGCACCGAAGGTCCGCAGCCCCCTCTCAAACGAGATGCAAGTCGATGAAGGCGCAGACGAAGATAAGGACTGTGTGCCGATGCAGATTTTGCTGTCGCTACCTCGTCAATCTGGAGAGAAATTGGCGACTCCATCAAGCCCTCGCTATCCTTCCAATCTTACTCGGATATCTGCTGAGAGGCCAAACAACAGGTCTCGTCGTGCGGCAATCTCTCTTCGAACAGTCTGACGGCCGTCCTTCCTTGTCTTGTATCAACTACCCACATTCATCTCATATCCGACAAGCAACGTCCATGCGAGTCCTACTCTGTACAACTAGCCTGTGTATCCCTAGCCTTAACTGCACGTCTCCCTGATTCCGTTTGTATTCCTTGTTTCGTCAGACTATGCTATCATGCCGAAGCCTAGGCTGACCACACTGTGATTGCCTCGGGGGTCCTGCCTTGGTCTCCCGTAAGACAGGTCGCTCCGAACACTTACTCCGAAAACGTGAATCTACTTGTCAGGCTGGAAGGATGTTAGTCTCCGGCCGAGTGCACATGAGAAGCTAGGTTACAATGGTCAGTTACACAGAGCTCAGATTGGTCCACAGTGCACGAGACTCCGTGTATGCGCAGGGAGGAAAAAGTTTTTTTTTTCCAACGAGGGTTCGTTCCCAGAGGATATCAGTGGCAAATCAGTGCAGATTGGGAGCACTGCAAAACATGATTCGACCCAGGTTCGAACTGAGGACCGCCTGTGAACATGTCTCCAAGAATGAAGGATGTTAGACAGAAGTGATAACCAACTACACCATCGAACCGACGGTGACCCATGACTCGTCCTCATTTCGTATTTCTCAATTTCTTTTGACCATCTGCTTGGTACCATGACGACCTTTGTCTAGACAGCTTTCATACTACCGGCTTCTTAATGCTCGTCCGCAGTTGGTGTGGTATCTGGCAGGAGCTACGCAAATTGATTAGATGATATTCACATTTAGATTCAACTTCTTGTTTCATGGTGGCCCTGAATCAGATGAACACTTATGCTGAATCTGAACCAGTATCTTACGTTGGTTCCGGAAATCCTTAAGATTCGCAAGAATCTCACGTGGCGCCTAGATACGATCAATCTTTGACGCCGTTGCGGACCCTTTGCATGGACAGGTTCAGTGAAGTGATGCGTTTGCGCCATTGGCTGCATCTCATCACCTGTGTTGCTGCACTGGAGAGAACGAACTGCCCCTCACAAATGAATTGTACGCTCAGAGCTTTGCTACCGAAGCGGTGCTTGCACCGAGCTTTCCTATCCCAGACCATCGTGAACTTTCTTGTTCGATTGATCTCGACACTGGGACTTGACATTCCACTTGCTCGCACAGTTCCCGCATTCAGGCATGGAATTCTAAGCTATACCTTTGGTGTCATGATGCCGAGTCTGAGTGCATCTACGGAGGATATAGAGGTGAGAGATCCGAATCAGCGCGATTAGCCGTTGATGAAAGTTCCAGAACGACTGATCCGCATTACTGCGAAGGACCGAGTTCTTACCTGCGGCCATCTCAAACCCCAGTACAAACTGTACTGCACATCGCCCCGGTTTCAACGCGCCCACCCCTCCGATACGGGCTCAGGAAGCCATTAGCTGTCGTCGTCGCCGTCTTCGCGGATAGATGGATGGGGGCAGTGACTGACGACGTGTTTCGCCGCCTGTGATGATGATGAGTCGATGATATAAGATGGGAGATACGTGCGTGCGACGTTCTTCCTTCATTCTTTCTTTTTCTCTTCGTCTGAGTTCTTCGACCTCATCCAGTGGGAGCTAGTCTTCCCCATTGTTCCGGAATCAACTGCTCTCACTCTTTCGCTGCTTCATTCCCTCCCATTTACCTTCTTTTCTTCGAACACTTTCTTTCGTGTTTCTCTTTTCCTTTCGATCGGCAAAGTCACAATGCAACGCACCCTCTTTCTCTCGTTCGTTCTTGCCGCCGTCCTTAGCGTGTCCGCTGCGCCAGTCCCGCTCCCAGCTCATCAGGGTGTGCGTGCTGAGCCGTCACCTGATGCTTTGTATGACGATGACACAGATCTCTGTTTCACCCGTCATCGCGCGTCAAGAAGACTCGATCCCGGTGATCAACAATGAACACAGCGAGGTGCGTGGGATGATACACACTGGAAACCACGACTGACGTACCGTCGCGCCAGGAAACCGACTCCCCCGAAGGCCGTGATGTATTCGTCCCGCTGGATTTGTCTCCCTTCGAGGCTGGTTTACTTCATATTCTTGAGCCGAACCATGTCTCATGCGCCCCATCCACAGGCGCGTGCCGATCATCAAGACGGACAGCAAGGGAATGGGCAACAGCAAGACAAATCGAGCTCGCAGCAGCACTCGCAATCGCAACAGAAGGTTGATCCTGAGATTGTTCCTGGGCGGCAGCCACTCACGGAGGAAGCCCGTCCGGGCAAGGCTCATAATTTCGGGTGTGTCGTGGCCTGAGAGAAAGATTTTCGGTTTTTGTCGGTTTCGGCTCTTAGGTTGGCTGGGTATCTGGTGGACCACATAAAACAAGCTCATGTATGAGTGTACAGTATCCATATTCTGTTGAATCTGATGAAAGACAATGGATCCTGATGTTCTGCATGAGCTTTCTTATTCTTTCGATCACTTGGAAGACAACGGAGCAAATTTCTGTACTTTTGCGTATGTTTCTCGCCAGAGTATTCGCATTATGCTAGTGACTGCTAGCGAGCCGTCGAAAGCGTTGTCCACGTTCGAGTCGGTGTTTGTGACCGTGGACAATCGAATTCACTACGACGCGTCAATCAACGGAGCTCCATACATACATTCGAGTGGCCGAGGTGGCCACAAATCACTCAGAAATGCAGCGCTTGAACCAAAAGATTTTCCATGTCGTGTGAGATCTATATTAGCCCGCCTTAGAACGCATCATCGCGGTGATGCAATTGGGGGCGAAAGAGAGGGTCGACTACCGGGCAACCTGAATCAAAGAAAAGAGCCATCAGAAAGAATGAGGATGTTTGAACAGGCGCTTCAGAATGTCTCGATCTGATATCTACTAATCTATGGACCTGTGGTGAGCTGACTGCACGAGGTGTATCTGTACTGGAGGAAATCCAGATCCAACACGGTTGTTTGAAACGGGAGTGGCTCGATAATCGAGGCCAGCGCTGGCAAAGTTTGCTTGAATCTGATCTATGCTTGGGCATTTTTGGATCAATTTACACCACACCCGCAAACCCAATCGACATTAATGGAGTAATGATTTGAGTAAATATACTTTTATACTGAAAGCACGGATGCCGAGGTGAGTCATGGACATGTTATCGCATCAAACGAGCGGATTTTAGTATCGTACATGCTTCGGGCACGAAATGAAGGTCAGGAAGCCGCAATTCATATCGCTAGCCAAGCTGCACGAAACAAATACACTGTTCGGAGAAACGTCGGAAGGTGAATGACTGAAGGCGGTGGACTAGAGACCAAGTTGGGGCTCTGAAATAGCTGTGACTAGGGTGCTACCGGCGGCATTGGGATTGCAAGCCATTCGGACGACGTGTAGTGGAGCTTCGCTTACAATCGCAAAGCCACGCCGTATACACCGAAGATGATCTTATACGCAGCATCCGGGAGCGGCGCCAAAAACAACTCTAAGCGCATGTGCTCCTGACCTCTCGAAACGGGCGAACACGGACTCAACAGCACTTAAAAAAATGTGGTGAACAAACGGGGCTGTTTGGCCCGAATAGTAACATGCGGCAGAGTAGCAGGAACCAGAACAGCGACCCCAACAAACACTTCTGGAGCGAGGCATTGTTGTCCAATCGGTAGCTGCGACGATGCAAGATGGGGCATTCGAGATTCTCTCATGAGAGAAGCGCAACAGACGTAGAACACGGAATGGCCCATTTGCTCCCGAGCAAGTGCAGCGCCTGAGTCGCTCTGAGTCGCTCTGAGTCGTTCTTAGGGACCATTAATATTCGCCAGGGGCCTTGTTGTCATAGAACGGGGAATGCGGATGCGTCCGTCTCTATCGCTACGACGGCCTCGGACCCAGAATTCCCTATTTCAATTTGTTGAGTGAAGCGCAACGAATGAAGACCCGAGGAGGTTGAGGGAAACTTAGTCGAAGAGACGGAGCCTCGAGCGGATCTTCTGGATTCTGAATTCTTTTTCATGTTGGCAGGGTTTAGTATTTACTTCGGCTGGGTCTGAAATATCTCAGTTCTAGGTGCGGAAGATTGATTCTGGGCCGGTAGACCTAGATATACACTCAGTAATACATCTGGATTGGGTTTGAAACCCGATCTTCCGTTTAAGCTTCTGAGGCATTGACGCAATTGCGGTCAGACGCTCGCTTCTCATTTGGTGACCGAGAGAGACCGGTGAGAAGCAGGCGCAGAGATGGCGGGTAGCGAGGCGACGATGAGAACTCCGCTTTTGTACATCATGCCGTCGGATGGGGTAAAAGAATAAGAGAGATGACCAAATAGAGGTGCGATCAAGGCCAAATAACGTTTTGTTCATAATCGCGAGCACCGCTTTTTGATTCCTTGTGTCCTCACCCGTCCCCTCCTCCTTCCTCCCGCGGCTCGGTTTCCTTTCCTTCGTCTTTCTTTTTGTCGACACGCACACGCACAATCATGCAATTCACCGTCTCTTTTGCCATCTTCCTCTCTGCCGCTACACTCGTCGTCCCCGCTTCTGCACACGGCTGGACAAGCAAAGTCGTCGTAGGCGGAAAGTCGTTCCTCGGCAACGAACCCGCCGAACAGCAACCCACGCCCAACCCAAGCATCGTTCGCCAGATCTCGACCGTATCGCCCGTGAAGGATCTCTCCTCGACGGACCTCATATGCGGCAACAGCGCTACCAAGGCGTCGCAGGTCGCCACCGTCGCCGCAGGGAGTGCGATGCAGGTTAGTCTGCTCACGCTCTCCGGGAACTGGTTCCACGATGTGGGGCCTATCATGGCGTACATGGCGAGCTGCGGCAGCACATCCTGCAAGGACTTTGACGCGACGGGTGCGAAATGGTTCAAGATCTACGAAGCGGGTTTGGATCCGTCCACCGGGACGTGGTTCCAGGCTAATCTCGGTGTGTAGCGTGCTTCGCTTGCCATCCTCGCTCTATCACCACTCATCTTTCTACCTGATAGACAATGGGTCCCCGATCAATGTCACCATACCGGCGAACCTTAAAGCGGGAAACTACCTACTCCGGACGGAAGTCGTTGCACTGCACACCGCACAGTCCCCCGGCGGTGCCGAGTTCTACCCGAGTTGCTCGCAGCTTAGTGTGACCGGCACAGGCTCCGCGGTGCCGAAGGCCAGCGAGCTGGTCCAGTTCCCTGGAGCCTACGGGACGAACGACCCTGGTGTCCTCATTGACGTGCGTGTGCTCCTCTTGGTCGCCTTTTTAGACTTGCACTGATACGTTGGGACAGGTGTATGACATGAAGGCGGCTTACCGATTTCCCGGCCCTGTTGTCGCCTCCTTCGTTTCTGGATCCAGCGCGGCCGCTCCTCCCTCCAACTCACCGCAGCCATCCGAAAGCGCCTCATCAGTGTCGACTGAGACGGCTACTCACAGCACCACCGTGCACCATTCGAGCGCTCCCACTGCAAAGTCGACGACGGCGCCGCACCACACGACTACGGTTGTCGCACCTGCGAGTACTCCGACGTCGACGACGACTGCCAAGACGTGCAAGGCGAAGCACGCTTCGCGTCGTCGCGATGCCCGCATCGATCGCGACTTCGTTCGTAACGAAGTTCGTCGTTCGCGCGCCAGGCACATGCATGCAGGCGCTGTGCCCCGCTCGTTCTGAGCACGACCAAATCACCACATGATCTACATGACCCCCATCCCAACAACCACATCCAGACACGATCCATCACATCCTTCCTCACGCCATTACTTGCTTTGTTATGCTCTATTTGTCTTGCTCTGTCTCATGTGCTCGAACGAGTTTCGAGTGGGCCTAGTGCCCATCTCTATCTATGTTACCTGCTGCGCCTGGCCTCTGGGGTCTGGCGCGTGCGATAGTGGGCCTAGTGTCCGCTCAGGAATACAAATACATCATACATACATTCCAGAAATGCTGTAGCCTAGTGCGTATTTAGCAAATGACGTCGTCTAGAACGACTGGTGCCTTTTACTGCATTGCCATGGCTGGACTAGATCGTGCCCTGTACGGCGCTTCGTCATTCAGAATGGGAACCAATCATGACACTCGTAGCTTTCTGTGCATCACGTTCCTGTAGGACAGCACAGGGAGAAAAGTCTGACCACCATGTTTACATGTAGTTATAAACTATTGCGGTCGAGCGGTTTCTTCTTGCAGACGATCCGATGTCTCTAATTCAAATTGTCATTCTGGTCCTGTCGATGAGAGCCTCGGGCCCGAGGGGTTTGGTCGCATTATTTTCATCATGCCTGTGGAACTTATGTACGAGAGCAATTGCTAGCGAGTTGACTTGACGATCTATCAAAGAGTTGCGAGTCCTAGCGCCACGGGAGCGGATACAATCTTATCTTATCTTTGTTGATGCTCCGTGACCAGAATTTGCACGATGCATAGTCACACCAGATAGTTGCCAGAAACTTCCGCTACATGCATAATTCCAGGAATTATACAGGGTACTGCACCATCGAGGACTTCAAGGATCCGGCTTTAGGACCAAATCCAGTCAAGATCCACCAGATAAGATCTCAAGGGAGTAGAGGAAGTATTGCACATTTACAATAGGCTCCTGGATTACAAACGATATTCCACCAGGGGATTTTGGACGAATCAATGGAAAGCGCAGTAGGAAGGTCTGAATGGCACGATCCCCCAGACCTTGAACGCTGGCGGGTACGATCACTTGGTCAATCAATCAATGATCATTCGCCTGATCGGTGTTGATGGGCGGTTTGGCATACCGCGCGTCCAATATTTACAGATGATGACATTTCACCTGATAAGAAATTCCTCGGGGCAGGAGGAAAGCAAACGTGCGTGATGCCCGGTGATGCCACCGTTTTTGATCGATAGGGAGCGGTGAAAAGTTTGACCGAACTACTTCTGTCCTCCACCTCCACCTCTTCGCCTCCCCCCTCCGACTTCCCCGAAGATACTCATCTAGAAATGAGCGGCACGGAGAAGAAATACGATAACGAGAAGACGGCCCACGGTGACGACGTTAGCGTTGAGGCACTCTTGGAGAAAGCCAAGCAGGAAGGCATAAAGCCGATCTTCCTTGCGAAGTAAGGAGGGCTTCGACCGAATTTTGGAAGTTTGCTCTAACACGAGTTGTGCGTGCAGAGTCAAGGTTCTCAACGACGCGATTTCAGAGTGTGGACTCGGTCGGTACGTGGATCTTCTCGTTGCCGATATCGAGACTAATGCTCCACTAGTTACCAGGTGCGTCTTGGAGCATTGGAGCAGAGGCTCTCCTCTGGTCACCACTTGCTCTGCCTTCTCTCACGCTCTCGTGCTGACCTTCCTTCACCAGTACGAATTGTTCTTCACGGCTGGTGCGTGAACGACTGTCCTCATCCCTTATTCGACTGACGGGGACCAGGTTTTGGGTAAGTTTCATTCTAGTTGAATTTCGCGCTCATCATGGGGATTTGTGCTCAGATGGTTCGCGGACAGTGCGCACGCTCATTCTCCTTCCAAAACTCTTCGCTGAATAACTGAATTTAGACATCTGGTTGCAGGGTATTGCTATCCTGATGCCCGCCATTGCGAATCAGGTGCGGACAGGACACTCTATTTCCGCTCGCGCACCGCCTAATTGCCGACAGCACAACTTCCCGAACTACTCAAGTAACATCCGGATGGCTACCTTTGCTCTTTACGTTGGTCTTATCGTCGGCGTGCGTCAGCTGCTGCTACGACTGTCACTTCCTATTCAATCGTCATAGGCCATCTTCTGGGGCATGACCTGCGATGTGATCGGACGTCGGACCGCATGGAATGCGTCTCTATTCCTCTCTGGAATATTCGGCATTGCGTGCGTGTTTCCCTGTCTTCGATCGCTGTTCTCACGCACGAAACAGGGCAGGGGCTTCTCCCAATTTTGTGACTCTCGGAGGTACGTTTCTTCATCAATTCCTTCTGTAAGACACGTCGCTTATGTCGATATGTAGCTATGCTGGCTTGCATCGGTATGTCGATCATACCGTCAAACGCTCATCAAACACGTCCAAACTACGTCAGGATTCGGTGTGGGAGGTAATTTGCCTGTCGACGGCGCGCTCTTCCTCGAGTTTTTGCCGGGTCCGTACCAGTATCTGCTTACGTTCTTGTCCGTCTGGTGGGCCATCGGTCAGGTCGTTGGCTCGCTGATTTCATGGGTTTTCCTCGCCAAGTGCGTCCTAACTATTCTACTCTCGATCCCTTACTTACTCGCGTTTAGATTCTCGTGCGACACCACTCTTGTCGGTACGGTACTCGCGAATGGCAGCATTTACCAGTGCGACAACACTAACAACAATGGCTGGCGATGTGAGGCGCTTGTCACTCCAGTCGTGCTCTCGCTCATGATCACCAGACTCATACTACACTCTTGGCGCGATGATGCTCTTCCTCGGCATCGTCCGCATATTTGTGTTTCCCATGGATGAGTCGCCCAAGTTCCTGCTGAGTGCGTGCGGTATCCCATTATGATGTCGTTTTAAAACCTCTGCAGGCATCGGTCGCGATCAGGATGCGGTCGATGTTGTGCACCGCATTGCCAAGAAGAATAAGGTCCAATGCAAGCTCACTGTGCAGGATCTGCACGATGCGGCTAGTCCTTGGATTGAGCCTGGCGAAGAAGTTCCGCCCGTCAAGTTTTCCACTTGGGGTCTCATCAAAAACAGCTGGGAGCACCTGAGCGGCGAAAACATCAAGGGTCTCTTTGCGACACCGCGTCTGGCGTACTCGTCTGGTCTGATCATTTTCATTTGTGAGTTGGGGGCGGGCGTGAAAGTCCTCGCCACACCAACTGATTCTCTTCCAGATGGTTCTCTTGGTCTCGCCTACCCCCTTTTCAACGCTTTCCTGTGAAACTGGCGATATCCTGTATATTTCCGCGATGCTGACTCTCATGTAGCGGAGGTTATCTTTCGTCTCGCGAGAAGAGCACCGGTAACACGGGTATCGACGCGACCTACTGTACGTTTTTGTTGTGATTCGAATCGGTGATGAACTGATTGTAAGACCAGCTGCATACACTTATCAGGCTGCGTGCGGAGTTGCCGGCTCGTTTCTCGCCGCGCTCATGGTCCAGTGGTCACGCGCCGGACGCAAATTCTCCATGGCTTTCTTCACCATTATGTCCGGTGTTTTCCTGTTCGCTCTGACGGCGGCGAGAACCTCAGTTCAGGTCAATGCGCTCGTTTCCATTGCCAGTTTCTGGGAGAATGCGTTCTATGGGGTGAGCGATCTGGTCTTTCGCATGATGCGGTTTACTCATGATTACGAGGTTCTATATGGATATGCTCCCGAAGTATTTCCGACTCCTCGACGAGGCACTGGTGATGCGCTGGCTGCCGCATCGAGTCGTGTCACCGGTCTCATGGCTCCTGGTTTGTCATTTGCGTCTGTTGTGTTTCTCCTTTGAACTTCTCGTCTCCTCAGTGATCGCTGTTTACAGCCAGGCCGGAAAGACTCCAAATGGGTAAACGAAAATATCTTGCGCATTCCAAAGCCGACTCTAATCTGCCTCCACAGACCTGTCTACGCGAGTGCAGCCATCTTTATTGCCACGGGTCTGCTGATGCTTGGTCTGCCGATCGAGACCGTTGGTGTCACGGCGTTCGTTTTTGTTTCCTTCGATATCTGCTCTCCGTTGTCTCATTCCGACTAGGCTTTGATCAAGGTCCAAGATACCCTTGACCCACCCCCGTTCATCCAGGGGTTCCGACATTGGGCACTTTGCTCGTGCGTCTCATTCAACAGGGACGCGCTGTTTTTGTTCGTGTTATAAAGCGAGCTGCGCAGTAATTCATTCTAGGGTTGGATGAGCTATCATGCAGTATTGAATATCATGCCCATATACGACTGAATAATTCAAACCATTGCTTCGATATAGTCACGAGCAGTTTTAGACATAAAGACTACACTCCAAAAGTGATCTATGTTTTAGAAAATAGAAAAAGGATAAGATGAACCCGTACAGCATATGAATACGAACGATTGGTGTTTACATTTTACAAGGATATACGTGATCTAGAAATCTGGACTGAGGCATTTGGAGATTCTAGTCTGTAAATCAGCCCGGAATCCTCGTCTAAATAGAACGACGTCATACTTTGATGGGTTGGAGGTAGATTAACAGATGATCTTGCTCGAGTAGTTCGAGGAAGGTCAACTGAAAGTGCGAAAGTCAGAGCTTGGATGACGATGGCAGTCATATAAATATGATTGTACCTCCGAGCGGCTGTTGTTGGATTGTTAAAGTAACAAGACGGGTCATGACTGCCTCGCCAGCCACAGTGACAGCACTGGCCACCGCGCTCCCTGGTCTTCGGTGTAGTTGCAGTCGCGCGCAGAGGATCTCCGGTCCGGGTGGTCGACGGTACATAAGACACTGTCGAGACAGACGAGCTGGAGCACATTAGAGCCAAAGTGATGCGTGGATGATTGCGAAAGCGGGTGTCGTAGATGGAGAGAGTAGCTGAAAGACTGCTAACTTTATAAGGCGTGTCTCCTTCAGGTCATGTATTCAGTCATGTACTCGGCGTAGGTTTCTCGAACAGACTAGGGTCTTGGCCTAGACCTCCCACGAACGAATCCCAGACGACACTGGACATCTTTGGCAGCTTCTTTGCTTCCTTGCCGCCAGTTTTATCAGAAGGGTTCCCTCGTACGATACACCGGTGGGGACGGGTTCTCTTCACCAGGCTAGAAGACGTACATGTTCATGCTAGGAATGAGAGCTCAAACTCGATTGTCTTCCAAGCGCTCCAACAGGAGAAAATTAGAGCCCTCGATCATTCAACACCTTATGAACTTACGTTGGGACAGAATGGAAGCAAACGACTATTATGCAGCAAAGCCAAAGAGGGTCTCCCGTCTCGATGGATAGAGTATGGTAGGCGCCTGCTTAGCGCTGCGTTGTGCAGAAGTCTGGACCGAGACTCTCGGACCGGTTCAAAACACCTCCTGAAGTTTTTGGCAGTCGCATAACCGCTTCGGTTCGGCTCGTGTCGAGGCCGACCCATGAAGACCGTCTTCTTCCGGGAGTCTTCAATCCGGATGTTCAAATCCAAGACCCGGGTGCGATGCCAACCCCGCAGATCAGTGTCTAGGACGAGATCGAGGCCGGGGGCATGTAAAAAAGGGTCTGGAATCTTTTTGTACCGTCCGAACGAACAGGCAGCTGGAGGGCATAAATGGCAGATTTCTCCCGCAGAAGCCTGGGTCCCAAAGCGTATGGTCACAGCCACTGTCACAGCCAGTCGTGACAGCGTGCTCATGAGTCATCATCTGAGACTCTGAGTGGCACGACTGTTGCCATTCACTCATAGTTAGATACAAAATCGACAAGGCAAACACTCAGACAATGCACATATCTCCATTTTCGAGCATGCTGTAGGCTCTCTCAATTTAAGCAATGATCGACTGGTGACCACCTGATACGCATCACAGTTAATCTCTTTCCTCCTCTTACAACGTGCCATGCCAATGCCACAATCGTACCTGTCCCTCCTTTCTCACAACGACCATGCCACAAGCCAGCGTTGTCTACCCTGCTTCTCAAACGGCTGGGACTGAACGGCAGCCGGCGATGAACTTCCTTTGTGACGCATGCCAAATCCTCATCCCCGGCACCGCGCCGCGGGCGCATTGTCTCGTCTGTCCAGATCACGATCTATGCGCAGCGTGCACTTTAGGAGAGCGATTCGTAAGCCCGCACGCCGCTGGGCACGCGATGCAGGTGTATCGCGTCAGCGGCGATAATGCGACAGCCGTGGTGAAGGGAAATTGGGTGCTGGGATATGGAACGGGTGTGTCTTTCTCTCGATGTTTTGGCATGTATCCACCTTGACGATGCGTACGATAGCTTCTCCCTCGCCTGTACCGGTTGCATCTTCCAGTATCGAGAGCAGCAGCGCCGCAGGAGGAACGAGTGTCGGAGGGACAAGTTTCGGCGGTACCGCGACCGGCGTGGGAGGCACTAGTGTGGGCGTATCACGTCCGGCGGCATCATCGCAGGAGAAACTTCCTCACCAGCCCCCGCATCTCCCAGTGCCCCCAACGGTTGGGGGCAGTTCTTCTTGCCTGCCGATCTGAGCCATACTCAAATTTACGCCGAACTCATCATGACTATCTTTGGATATCTCGATACCACACGCTCTGGCTTCCTGGCCCCCGAGGGGTATTCCCGTTTGCTTGACGACATGGGGTATCCGGTTCATGAAAACATCTGTATGTACCCCCCGCGTCTCTCCAGATGGCGCACTAACGGAGACTCCAGGGAAGAAGAACCTGACTCAAAGCTCTCCTCTTCAGAGCCGCGAAGCGGCAGCAGACGCCGCGCTGCGTGCCGCGTACGACATGTTTGCAATCGAGTACATTACCCAAGCACGACCCCGCGCAACGGCACCCGGGCGGTTCTCGGGATTCCAGTCGATCGCTGGTGCAGGCACGCCGATGCCGCTGCTCACCGCAAGAGGCCTGGGCGACATCATTGCCATCGAGTTGCTCGCGGGCCCGAATGACGCGTTTCCGCGCCTTGCGAAGGTCATCCAGGGATACGGGTTGTACGCGCGACAGCCGTATGCGGGTTGGGGAGCGATGCCTCGGACCGTATTGCCCGCTGGGCCGGATCCGAGGATGTTGGCTCGGGTCCAGTCCGCTCAGACGAATGCTGTCCAGGCTGCCGCCATCAAGGCCCAGCTCAGAGCCAAGGCGGACCTCGCTGCTGTGAACGCCATCGGCGGAACTCAATGGGAGATGAGACCATACTGAGCGCTCGCGGTAGCTGTTGAGATACCTGACATCTTCGCCCATCTACGTACCAAACTTCCATCACTAGGTTCCAGCATCAATGCTCTATGTTGTCCTCTCATCCTTCAGTTTGCATCATACTCGTATAGTCTATCAGCGGGCCAATCCAGTGCATCTGCCCTAGTCATTTCTCTGTCCCTGAAGACAATCAGCACCCATTCGCCCCCAGCGCTTTGCGGCGATCGATTGAAGCGAGTGACCAAGGGATTTGAAGAAACTCCACGGTGAGGTTCGGCCGCTTTCGAAGGATTGGGAGGCATTTGGGTCAGATGGGGGAATGCTAAGCACGTATCTTCGGATAGCGAAAGACTGCTCTGTTCGATTTGATGGGCCGGATTTCGACTGGGAAAATATCTCGCCGATTTTACTTTGAAGATCAAGAGCAGATTTTATCCCAACATCTCTGAAGTTGTCCTGGCTCAGAGCTAGAAGAGTATAGTCTGCAATGCATGTAACTCCGGAATGTGAGTCATAACCAGCATCCTTTCCATGACTTTCTAGCACAGCCACCATGCTGATAACAGACATCTTTCCAGCCATCTTCTCGCATCAAATCCGCATACACCTCTATACGGGAGAAACGGGAGCGGAAGTGCAGGATAAATAGCAGTCGGTGAGTCTCGGAGACCAACTCCAGTTCATGTCTCTCCTTCGCAACGTCCTCAAGCGCAATCAGCAACATGCGGATTCCGCATGTTCGCCGACCGAAGAGTCTGAGATCGGCAAAAGCGGAGTCAAGGAAGAGGTTGAAGCAGTGGAGGTCACAGCAGTGCACGTAGCGGAAACAGCCACCTTCCAGGAAGCTCCAGGGAAGGCTTTCAATCCGTTATCATCCAAGCGCAGCCTCAAGAGCTACGCGACGTCCATGAGCAAACTGTCTGTTGGGAAGAAAGGCATGAAAAGCTATGCATCTACGATTCGCTCTTCGGGTGGACGCACCATTCGGTCGCTGGCGGAATCTATGATGAGCTTCTACAGTTTGATGACCATGGGTGGGACAAGGATGCCGAAACGACGCAGGCCGGAACTCTCGACTCTCGGTGCGCTGCCGGATTATCTTCCCTCCCGCTCGGCAATTAATAACCCTTTCTCCGACAGGAGTCCCGCTCTGGTATGAATCGGACCCACCGCCTCCTCCGCTGATGGATGGAACGGGGGAATCCTCTACCATTCCTGCGTACTACAACAGAGAAATTTCCGCAAATTTACATGCGAGATCCGTTGGGGAGCAGCCATGGCTCGGACTGGTCGTTTACAGTCATGCGCGCCCCGAATCGGTCATGCCGATGTATCACGAATAGGTCGTCATCAACACAGACTCAATTCTCGACTTTTTTTCTCCGCCCCATCTGGCCATAAAAACTACCGTGTGGAACCGAGCGATGGGTGATCCAAAGAGACTGAAGATAAATGTTCAAGCCCCGCGAGCTCCCAAGCCAGAATCAAGGCCCACGACCGAGAGCGGATCGCACAAATGGCAAGGAAAGTTCCCAAAAGGAACGTTCGTCTTCCCGTTCGCATTTCCTGCACTTCCCGCCGATCTCCCAGTGAAACACTTCGACGACACAAAGAAGAGCGTATGTGTTTCTGCCTTGCTGTGTGAGACAAACTAACACCGCCCAGAATCTCAGCCGTGTTCCCTTGCCTCGTGGGTTTTGACATATCTCTGCTCTATGCATGTTCATGAAGCGCAGCATCCCGTGCGATCCACATGGTCGCGGGCTTCTCTGGTTCCATAAAATACACAGTCGGCATCAACATTGATTATGACAAGGTCGGAGAGCCAGACGAAGAGTTCGACATGCCGATGCAGTACCTTCCCCTGGCGAAACGTATCGCTAAAGAGCATACGCCCTTTCCGTACCTTCCGACTCGAGAGGACTGGCCTTTGCGCAGAGAAGTGATCGGCAGCTGGCAGCTTACCCCGTTCGGTGGACGGGGCCGACTCGGCGAGGAGATGGTTGAGATGGAAGGCATCGTGAGCACATCCGTGACAACTCTAATGTACTTTGCACCGCTAAAACACCGACAGCTCGGGGTGCAGCTCCCAGCTGTCGTCACCGCAGGCGATGTGGTCCAGTTCTCCATCCTGCTGTGGTCCAAAAACGCACTGGTACTCGAAGCGCTCGGCCAGCCCGGCGCGGTCGAAGTAGCGTTTCTCAGCTCGGACATGTTCGCTGGGAATGTGATGCATCCCCGGACCTCTTCGCGGAAAGACCGCTATCTCGGACGGCTTGGGTATGGTCGTGTCTGGCGCACGGAAGATGGGAGACCTGATGACGAAGCCCTTGTTCCCGAGATCAAGATGGTTCAGCTGCCGGATCCAAAGGCGCCGGGATCGCTCAAAAGTTCACACCTCGGGTCTCACACGGTCAAGGGCACCCAGTCAAAGCGCGTGAAGGAGGTATCAATCACGGATGGTGCCACTGAGGAGCGCTTGACGTTTACAGCTCAGGAAGAAAGGAAATCCGAGTTTCCAGCCAGTCCCAACGACGGCAATGCTTTTTCGGAGGAGCATATGGCCACCTTTTCGACTGAGGAAGACGGGAAGTCGAACGAGGAGTCCGCTGCTGGCGGATCGGAAGCTGCGGCGGTGCGTGCCTTTTCACCGACACCGACGACCGAGGAGATTGGCGGAGAGTTCGAGGAGACAGAGGAGCCTGACCACTTCCTGCGGATGGATGGCGAGATCAAGATTCCAGCATGCACCCATCCTAGCTACCGGTTCCCCAACATGGGTCGCGAAGTGGGTACTTGTTCTTTCGTGAATCGTTGTACCATGTCAGCTCAAATACCGCCCCGCAGTACCTCCTACACCTGATATTCAGCCACCCTCAATACATGCACATTTCCCCCAATGCTACGGGAATCCTGGCTGAGTTCCCGGTGTGGTACGTCATTGATAGGTTCAATTACCTGGAGTCAAGTGCGACAACGCCGAGATCGCGCCAGACGTGGAATCAACTCAACGCGCTACCGCACTCCGGGGCTGAGGTGCTCATTGACGATAAAGCTTTTGTGGCGCCGTTTGCGGAGGGGGAAGTGACCACGGAGAGGAGACCCACTGCGAAGTTCGTACATTACTTCGCGTTCTAACGTGCTTGCGACTGTCATGAACACAATCTGTATTGGTGTTGGATGTACGTTCCATGTATCCAGAACCGTCGATTCCGTGCTTCGCAACTGAATTATATGTAATATGCGAGCTGCGATAACGCTGGCTGTTCACTGAATCGGTCAACACCGACACGCCTGATCGAGTGACTCGAGTTCGTGGACTCGATGGGATAGTTCTGCCCACTATGAGAAGAACGGTGCCCCCAGGACAGCATACAGGATCTTGAATCTCGAGTATTGCCTGCTGTCAGTCATTAGCACTAGTTTGGATCAGAGGCGGATGCTGCGCTAAATGCATGATATGTACCGAGTAAGAGATATGGTATGGGTATTCAAAACTGCATTCACATCGGTGGCAACATGGTGTAATCGCCGAGACGAGGAGGTAACGGGTCATCCCACCAAACGCTCAATAACGTCTCCTCTCCCACTGCGAGTCGCTGAGGATGTTGACAGCAGCGAGATCCGCCTGAGCAGTCAATTGGGCATTCATGGTGGCCGTCTGTACAGCACTCATCTGTGCCTGTTGAACTCGAGCCAACATCCTCGGATCCGGCGAGGCGGGTAGAACTCTGCGTGGCATCGCGCCCCAGCTCGCATATGGCTCTTTCGAATAAAGTCCGTACGCTTGGACAGCTCTGGCCAGCCGCGGAAAGGCGTCGTTTGGGTTGGACAGCAGCTCTATGGCAATGACGTTGCCCAGACCTCTTGCAGTGAGGAGCGGCATCGGCGTGGCTGGGCTTGCCAGTGACTGAAGACCTGAAAAGCGCCCGGACGACTTGGCACGTGGTCGGCTCTGGGTGATGTATTCTAGACCGAAGGTGTCGTACGCTGCACGGAGAGCGGCATCTGCAGCAGCTTCGCGGCTCTGGAGGAACGAACTTTGAGTCAGATTCTTCTTCCCTGCGTGAATGCTCAGCGGACTAAGAGAGAACGGCGATGAACGTACAGATGTTGATGTGAAGTGGATATTGCATGTCGTCGATCATTCGAGAGTAGCCCTCTGGCGGCAAGTAACCGGAACGTGCTGTGTCGAGATGCTCGAAGATTGCCATGATAAGCTCGGCATAGATTCGTGTATGACTCAGGTCGGCAGGCGAGAAGAATGGCCCCCATCCATTGAGACCGGTGGGTGGTGCAGCAGAAGCGGTAGAGGTAGAAATCCTTGTTGCACTGGATGAAGCACTGTCTGGACTAGTGTCCGCACCCGGAGACATCGTGCCACCAGCATCGATCTCGCCGATACCGCTGGTCGGAGATGAGGCCGACGTGTGCAAAGGCTGCGCTACCGCACGCTGTCAGCTGACAGGATGTTTTGAATACAGGAGATACACACCGGCAGTGTATGCTAGTACCCAGTTTCCCCTCACCACCCCAATTGCACTATCGCCGCAGATGCGGTACACCTCCATTGCGTGTGCCGCTGTGTGCGCACCAACGAAGCGCTCGCCGAGCGTGCACGCTGCACACAGATCATGATCCGGACAGATGAGACAGTGTGCCCGTGGTGCGGTCCCCGGAATGGACACCTGGCAAGCGTCGCAAAGGAAGTTGGTCGGCGGAGCTCCAGCGGGCTGCGAAGCAGAGGAAGAAACACTAGCTCGCGGCATGGCAGTCTGAATGAGAGGGAGGCTCGCTTGCGGATTGAGAAAACTGTGGCATCTTTGCTTCAACGAAGGTCAGAGACTAAGAGGAACAAGGCTGATCACTGGTGGCGGTGACAGCTGACCAGTCAACTGTCGAATCAGTGGAGATCAGTGGACGGCAAGCAAATTCTGTCATGTCGGGGTAACCTACCCATGTAGGGAGATATGAAACTACCTTCGCCAATCTCAGCAGGACCTGTTATTTCGCGTATTTTAATGAAATATGGAGAGAGCTCTCAAGTTTGATCCTCTCTCTCTCTCGTGATCTATTTCAATCCACCGGAGACTTTGCACGTGACGCACCTTCCTAGTCCCATACGACCATGGGATTCGCTCCTTATCATCGAGGATCTTCATTTCTTGCTCGGTAATCTAGATGGCTGCCTCTCAAGATGGATTGAAATCCGTCAAATAAGATGTGCCTGATTCTCAAGTCGCGCTAGCTGGTTGTGGATTATGACCTTTTGCCCTCGTCGCGAGTGCCTCCAAGAAACAGCGTATCTGAGTCATATTCGTGAAACAGCTACCCTTGCTCAAGAAGCCGCGTCCGATTGCTTCCTATGCTGTCTGATAGCCAGAAACTATTCCTCCCGACCGCAGCCACTCATGGTTCGCTCGTGGGTCAGCTTTGTTCGAAGCAGGTGTTATGGGTCTGAAACAGTCGCTTTTGGACGTGACGTGCGAAGAACTTCGCTCGATGATGGTATCATGGACATGGCGGACTAGCTCGGTGGCCGAATTGCCTCCAACACCGAGTGCCTGGACTTCGCGGCGAGAGATGCAAGTGACTGAGAGTGTGCCAGCGACATCAAAGTTTTGTTGAGAACGACCCGAGCTGCTTGAGCATCAGCTTCATAGCTGCAGAAAGAATTCTGAACGATTCAGTGGGGTCTCAAGAAGTTTTTACAAAGATAGTTCTGCCATCCTTGCTAGACTCGTTGACAGTCACCATCATTGAAGACAGGAATGTCGTCTGGACGGTGTGCATCCATTCCTCCCTTGCCATTTCATCTCTTGCAATCCAATCCACGATCTCGTCAAGATACATTTCTGGCAAGTCTTGAAGCAGGGAACTGATATGGTGGAAAGGCATTGAGCCGAGCCGAGCCTAGCTCGCTTCGGCCGCTTATTGCAGACAGGGAGGGCATCAAAGATCGATCGTGTCTACGCATACAAATTTTTTTTTGTGAGTCTCAAGGTTTTCGGGAACCGCTGTAAGTCTCAAGGCCGTAAGAATGCCCATCTCCGCTTCAAGCTAACCAAAAAACGCCCAGTGGGATGATTTCCAGGAAATGGGTAATGTCGATTGAAGTCTGGCAGATCGGATGAATCTGATATGATTCCGCCGCTGACTCGAAAACTAGCAGCGTGTCTGGCGCAGCCAACCTCCGACAATGGTCATCGAAGATCCGCTCGATTACACAATCGATGCCCTAGTCAAACGAATGAAGTCTCGTGCCCCTCCCCAATGTGCAAGGTCTCTTGGCCGTGCCTGGCTCCGCTTTGGATGCAAGTCGCACAGTATCTGTATCTTGTGTGAATGATATTGATCAAAATCGCGTGAGCAGGATCTTCATGGGCTGGGCCGACGTCAGCACGATGAGCTGGGACCCATGCCCGGTTCTCACCTCGTTTACGCCGACATGTCTCTGAAATCTCACATACGAGGTAGCACAGCGTTAGGCATGTACCGTCCACGCCTTTGTCTCTGACTGTAGACCCACACACCCGGCAGGACAAGATAGCCGGGTGTCTAACGCTTTCCCGTCAAAGTGGACCGCAGAGCCCAGATAGCGAAGGGTGAAGGGCATCTGCGGGCGTTGCAGTCGCTGAAGGGTGCTTCTCTACAGGCTGGTGAAGAGGGAAATCGATTGCCTGGGCGACTGCGCGGCGTTCTTGCTCGCTACCCTGATGCTAAGCCGAATCATCCCAGAAGGGGTGGTTATCAACGGTGGGTTTCGTTGTGCGGTGCAAGGACATGGATCTTCAGTTAAGGTCGGATCCCGTATGAGCGTAGATTGTGGTTGTGGTACAGCGAAGGGCTTGCGCTTGCGAAAGCGTAGTGCAGAGAAAAATGGTTTATTCTCGAGCCAACCCAAGATCAGCAAGGTATATCCATGTCCTGGAAAGGGTCCATGGGGCGTTTAAAGAGCTGCGCAGTAGCTTGGTGTAGCTACCGGCAGAGGATGAATCAAATGGCCTTGGCCGCCTTCCGGAGCACGTGAGGGGTCTGTGCGGCGATCAAAAGCTGACCCGTAACCGGCACCTTTGTTCTTGACGCCCACCTCGCACGACGATGCCAGCTCAATCTTACGAGCTGTACCGGGCGTCGAGGTGACCTTATCCTCTTTTGCTTTGATATCAAAACTCACTCTCTCCGCAGTATCGGCATGGCCCTCACCGACTCTCTCGACGAGCTGATTACCAGTGGGGCGATTACACCTCAGCTTGCGATGAAGGTGTTGCAGGTTGTGAGCATTGAATATCTGTCCTCAATTCCATCAATCCACTTTTGCTCAATACTTGTTCCCAGTTCGACGAGGCAATCTACGAGAAGCTAGCGAAGACCGTTGGTACTGGACCCGAGAAGGCGAAAGCTACTCTCAAGGTGTGCATGTGCTGTCTCATACGGGCCTTCCCCTCCATGTTTCGGTCTGTACCTCGCCGTATATCTGACCACTTCTGAACAGGGGAAGATGAAGACCTATCGTAACTGCGATGACGTTTGGACGTTCTGGCTCAATAATGTAACCCTTAAGGTCGATGGGCCCCAGGACTTTACGGTTCCAAAGATGAAGATCATCGCGTGCAAACACGAGGATACTGGAGATGGTAGCTCGAAGAAGTAGTGACCTACCGTTCTGGAGCTCAATGCTTCCCGCATCTCGGTCTGGAGCTTATGATCTTCCTGAGCATTCTATCACTCAATGTATTACTGACTATTCCTTCGTGGATGTATTATACAACCTTATAACATAGGTCCGAGGTTTAAACATCGAGCGACTCCGACTGTAAAGCGTGCAGATGAATGGAGAAACTATCTCCTTTATACGCTGGCCATAGTATCGACTGCGACGTCATTCATGGTCGTCCCAATGCGTGATGCGGGTATCCCACTCCTGCTCATTCTAGGAACCCTCCTCTTCCGTCAAGAGGCTTACAAAGGCGTTTCGTTCACGACAAATCGTTCCATGGAAGCCGACCGCCGTCTACGTTCTTGCATCAGCAATGCATGCATGCACATCGCCTCTCTTTCATATCTTCTATCGTCCTACACATGATTGCTCTCTGAAGCAGTGTGGACATAGGTCGAGCCAATCGATACAGCCCTTTCCAACGCGTTTCTCCGCCATTCGCCTTCGGCGCACCAACTCCCTGAAGTCTCCAAAGATCTGGTGGGATTCCTCTGATTTTTCCCACAGCGGCAGTGTCTCTGTTGTCACGCATTTCTGACTAGGAACATCCGTGCACATGCACTGGTGCTGTTGTATATGTGATTTCGATACATGTCTTTCCTCCGATGCTCGATCGTAGCGCATATGATCGCCATTTGCCTGCACGAAAACCGGAGATTTTGCACGTGATCCAGAGCCGAGACAAATCACTGTATCTTATTCACTCTTATGCTCGCCATTTGGGACGTCGAACCTGAGCTACTCCTAACAGAAGTCACTACAGAAGTCACTCCACTCCCAAGTGCCAACCGCATGACCCGGGCGAAAGCAACTGACGCGCCAGGGCAGCTTTTGCAGCATGAGCGGCCGAGTCTTGGATTGTCGATGGGAGATTGAGTCTGAAATGATCGGAAAAACATGATATCTGCAGAACGGGAGTGGCAAAACATTCATTCCAACAGCAACTGTTGCCGTGGAGAGCCACCTACAATTTCGAAACAAATGTTTAAGATCCGCGCTGACAATCACGATGCCGTCATCACCATGATGCCTACCCATTCTAACCCACACTCTTTTCCTCGTTTTCTGTACGTGCGCTCGGCGTCTTCCCCTCTGTGGCAGCACCTCTGCAACCTTCGAATAGCCCGATCATAACCCGACATTCTTTCTTCATCTCCTTGAGTCTTTCTGGTCAAACTATACCTCGCTCCTTAGCCTTCTCGCCCTGTCCACGACGTCGCCACGCCGGCGGGCTTTAGTCCCGCTCCCAGAGCATCAATTGTTTCGGAGTACGCTGAGGGGGAGCTCTGAATCGCCTCCCACGTGGTAACAGGTCCTGAGGTTCGTGATTAATGTCCACTCCACGTTGCTTTTGACTTTCTTCTGTCATTCCGTGTGCACTAGATATGCTGCCCGACCCTCCGCCCCCGCGTTCCTCCCTTCGACCGCCAAGCGCTATCGTCGCACCTTCGCCAGGATCCATTCAGTCGTCTCTTCCCGCGAGAAAGTCTATCAGGAGGGCGGCCACAGAGACAGGTCTGAATGTGACCGCCGTGCATGGATCCAGCGGAAGCGCGACAAGCACGCGGGCAGGATTGAATAGGCCCTCGGGCAGCTCAATGTTCCCCACTACTTCCGTGCGCGCGAGCCTCACAGCCTCCCCCCCATCCCAACCCTCGCCGTCCACGAGAATATCGATCGTGTCGAATACGACCTTGACATCCCACTCTATCACTCCTCTCTCTTCAGCCTTTGCATTCTCCGCTCCCATGGACGGTCAGCCATCTGGAATCTCCTCTTCTCTATCGTCCCCTTTGGCGGCCCGCACACCTCCATCACGCTTACGCGCGCCCTCAATCACAGTACGGAACTCAACTGTCGAGAGCAGCACCTCAAACTCATCTCGATCGCAGTCTGCGTCTAAATCGAATGTCATCCGTTCGACGGCACCGACTTCCCCAACCAAAACATCTTCTCACGCAGAGAGCACGCGAGCGAGAGCAGTGTCGGCTAGCGCGACATCAACTACGACAGCTGCTGCCCGAGCTAGGGCAATGTCGGTCGGTAGCAACTCGCGCTCTCGTTCGCAGGCACCAACCACGCCTCCTTCCGTTCCTCCAGTTTCTCGGCTACGCAGGCCAAGCACGGCTGGTAATTCGACCGACGCTGCGGGTGGGGACATCAGGAAAGGTGTTGGTGATACCGTAGTGAAGTGCGTCCACTGCAGCTCCGACTACCCAAGTGGTAGGGAGTCATGCGTAATCTCGTTGCTGACGAAATATCTTTTACGCAGACATCCTCCCCACCACTCGCCCCCGGCCTCCTTGCCCTCGAACTCAACAATCCCCTCACACAAATCGGTACCCAGTCCTGCGTCACCAATACAACGTATTCCTGATGGGTCATCAATCGGCCACAGGCACATGTCTCTGAGCACGCTACCGCAAACGACGAAGCACACGACTCTCACTGCTTCATCATCTTCATTCTCCAGTCGAAGCCGGGTTCCTGCCATCAATACATCCACCTCGTTGCAAGCCTCGGTCTCTCGGTCTGAGATGCGGCCGATTCCGGGCCCGATTTCCCCAGCACAGTCTGCCACTTTCGCCACAGCTCGTGCTGTCATCCAACGTGGTCGAGAACATAATGGTACAAGTGGTTCGCCGATGGGTGCTCTAAGACCTGGCGACTCATTCGAAAGCTCTGCGGACGCAGGGCTTCCAGCATTCGGTGATCTGATTGCTGCTCCCCAGGGCACAGGGACGCCGAAGACACCGACACCACACTCAGACGTTCCGCTTTCTGCATTTGGGGTGTCCGATATGCCGGCTCAGTCGCCGGCGGAATCTGACAGGGGTCGCAACACGCTAAAAACCACCACACCGACGGACTCAGACACAACAAGTCCGGCCAGCCCTATGGGCGTACCATTGAGCGCCGTTGGAGGTTCTATCCGCACTGGCTTTGGTTTCAATAGCAGGGCACTCCAGGCGTCGTCTTCGGGATCCAACAAAGCGAGCAGGGAGACTGCAAACGAGGGGGACCGGGATCCAGCTCTTGTGTATCAGAGTGGATGGCTGGATACACCAACACCGAGTGCCCAGTTGTCCTGGCCTGATCGTGGCGCCGGTCAGTCACCGCACCTGTTCGCATCTCCGTTCTGAGACTGTTGTAGTTCCCTCTCCCTCTCTTGACCCATATTACTCCCCAAAGCGCAGTCGTAGCCACGATAGGAGCAGAGACGCAGGTGGGCCTGATTATCAGTGCCTAGCATATCATCTTCCTCAATCACCATAGCTCTTGGCACACCGAATACACCTCCCAGACCGCCCAAGTCGCCGTCCAGGGCTCGCACGCTCATACCAAACGAGGCAATTGAGCATTCGCAGTCTAGAATGCAGGAATCTGTCGGTGCGTTCCCTTGTTGTTTGCTGTGCGCTAGATCTCCACCACGTGGGGCCGACACGTTGTTGCCTCGATGTTGTTTCAGCTTGTCACTTATACCCGTTTGCCTGATGGTCGAATGACACCGATTAGCATACCGAAGCAACTCTCCTTTCCTCTCTGTTTCTAGTCATGTCGCTCTCCCCTGTTGCTCAATACCTCTTTCTAGGTCTTCTCCCTAAGCCGAAGCTGACAAGAAGCGGCACTGAATCGTCGAGATCGCAATCCAGCGATAGTGCAACCATCTCTCGTTCATCTTCGATGCCGTTGTCTAGAAAGCCCCCGGCGATTAGTGACGATGCGAAGCTGCCTATCCGGTCTGAGCTCAGAGCCCCCAAGACGCTGGTCATGCCCACGGACTCATCAAACCTGCGTTCACGACAGTCGCAAGAAGATGTCGTCCCTCTCGCACTGCAGACAAAGACGTTGCCAGTCGCTCGACCGACTGGACCCAATTTGTCGACTGCCCATCCTCATTCTCCATCTACCCAGCGCATAAACCGCGCTCCGGACACGACGGCTCTGTCCGGGAATCCACGGTCCAGGACAGTCTCTTCGGATGGGGAAAGCGTGGCTACGCGATCTAGCGGTGAGGGGATGATGATGCGAAGAAAGAAGTACGGTCCCAGCAGGCTTGCTGTGGGTCGCAAAGTAGAGGATTTGCCATCACACAGTGGCACGGATTCGGATGCCACATCGAGTGCACGGACAACGGAGCATGATGTCGCACTGGCGATGCTGGGTCCGCTGCGGAGCTCGAGTGGATCGGAAAAGCGGCCAAGAAACGTGCTCAAGCGCAAACCCAGTGGAGTGACGTCGATGACAGCAGCATCAGTACACGACAATCCTCCAACTCTCGCCATCGAACTTCCGGCCACCGTCCCGATTGCGCTATCTCCTGAGCCGCTGACCCCAGCTGGTGCGGTTGCGCAGGCTTATAAAGACAGAGCGACGCCCAGTCCCGATGGTGATGAGAGGGATCCAACCCCGTACTACACTGTGTTTGGCTCAACTTCCGGGCGCATTGTGGCGGTTGGCTCGAAAGAGGACTGGGAAAGCGGATTCGGCGTGTCGTCGCGCGTAGAGGCTGTAAAGAAGTCAAACCGGATACTATCGAGGAAAAGCAGCGAAAGCGGAAGAACCAGCAACACAACCGAGCGCCTTTACGCAAAGCGGCGCCCCAGTCATGGAGAGACGGAAGGGGCCGTGCCTAGCTACACTCCGATACACAACGAACCTCGGTCACGGCGTTCAGAACCTGCGCTGAGTGGAGGCAACAAGATCTGGAAGCTGATGAAACGAATCAGCACGGGGGCCTTGAAGGAGCAATACGCAGAGCCACGGACACTCCCTCCAGTTCCGCCATTGCCTCCTTTACCGACGACAGGTATTCCTCGGACATCTCGGACGTTGCCGACGCCCCCGAGAACCAGTACTACGACGCGGTCATCTTCACAAGACTCCAAGTTCTTTTCACAGCAATCGGGCAGGTCGTCTACCTCTTCGTATGAGATCCCGAACGATGCGCCGCCGATGCCAAACTCGATTGTTGGCCAGCATATCGTTCCACCACAGGAGTTGTACAGGCTCGAGGTGGAGTCCTCCGCGGCTGAGGAGACACCGTCGCCCCCACCTGATATCAAGGCACGTCCCGAATCCCAGTCGTTGCCCTTGCCACCGAGAAGGCTACCAAAGCCGACAACCGCACCGCTGGCAAACCGGGTCAGCGATACACCGAGCATCCCCCAGTTCTCGACAGTGGACGCGTTCAATTCATTCCCAGCTCGCAAATCAGTCGATGGCACAATAAAACGTCGTCCGCTGCCTGCGGTCTCGCGATTACCCAAAACACGGATAGAGCCCGTGATGTTCCGCGCAGAAAATACTGCGGCCGTTTTGACTGA